TCGGAAAATAATTGGGCTTATTAATTTTTTTACAAAATCTCTTTAGATTTCATGTTGCTTTCATAAACTAATTTGAATTTATAATTATTTGGACTCACATACACTATGGTGGACATCCAAAGTTCACCACCATGTATACTATGCCTTGATTGTGGAGAGTTTATCCACCTCGGCTGTTCATGTCGGGGTGAGATGTCTCTTGCACATAAAAAATGTGCAGAGACATGGTTCACACAAAACAACAATAGGTGAGTGATATTTTAGGAAAAATATCAACAATTATTTATTTGAATATTTGTAGTACGGGATATGTGAGACTTGCAGCACTGAAAAAGCAAATATTCATGACATTGTCGCAAAGATGTCGGCTTTCCTGACAATTGTTTTAATTTTTTTTTTTATAGTTTTTCTTTGTTTTGGTTTCGTTTTTTTTAGAGAATATGCAGATAATAGCCAAATTTTTGAAGAAAATTAAGAGAATAACCATGAGTTACTGTAGCATTCTCTCTCTTCCATTGTAATTACAAGTATGCCCATATCATCTTCTATCTCTTTTTTCTGAACCATCGTCACTATCATATATGTTACCTCCATTATTTATCTATTGTTACCACCACTACGATTTCCTCCACTGACGGTTCCTCTAGAAACTTCACCGTCGATGATATCAACACCACCATCACCATTGTCCTTTATTATTTTCCCACATCTCCTCTCACTATCTAATCGAATTCCATACCGCTAATTTCTTTCTCGAGATAAATTTATACCGTCTATCTCTCTGCAGATTTCTAGGTTCTTACTGCCTCCAACAGCCAAAAATCTCCATTTTTATCTCGTTGGATCTCAATCTTTCTTGGAATCTCCGTCGTTATTTTCTTTTGTTACACGGAGATTTTTTGTATTACACGTTATTTATTAAGATCACATGTGAGTTTTCCCAAAAACATAATTTTTAATGTTAAAAATACATTGTTTTATTAAATGACACACCTTTTCTTTCAATATAACATGATATTTTTATTAATGGCATGTATTTTCACAAATAACAATATGATGCTGCATCTTTGCAAATGTACGTTATAAAATACAACGTTTTATTAATAAATATCGTGTTATTTTAACATGTTTCACGCGATTTGTTAAAATATCTCTAATCTCCATTTTTATCTCGCTGGATCTCAATCTTTCTTGGAATCTCCGTCGTTATTTGCTTTTGTTACACGGAGATTTTTTGTATTACACGTTATTTATTAAGATCACATGTGAGTTTTCCCAAAAACATAATTTTTAATGTTAAAAATACATTGTTTTATTAAATGACACACCTTTTCTTTCAATATAACATGATATTTTTATTAATGGCATGTATTTTCACAAATAACAATATGATGCTGCATCTTTGCAAATGTACGTTATAAAATACAACGTTTTATTAATAAATATCGTGCTATTTTAACATGTTTCACGCGATTTGTTAAAATATCTCTAATCTACTATTTTTTCTCCGCCAAAGCTTGCTCTTGGTCTAATTTGTAGGGACATTTTTGACTTTTATTGTGCCGTCATATGGTTAGTTACCCATAGAAAAACTGACAATGGCTATTTACTTAATTTTGACTCAAAATTTGGCTATTTAGTAATATTACCCTTTTTTTTATGTTGTTCCATTTCCGTATTTTGGGTGTTGAGTGATGTTGTAGTTTGAGTATGATGTCGATAATATTTTTATCATAACTTAAGATAAATAGTGTGCATGTCGGTTATGGTTTTTTTTGTCCCATTCCATTTCTGTAATTCTTTCACATAAATACTCAATTATACAAGTGAGGGACACTACACAACATTGTTCGCCTTAACACAACCAAATCATTATCCATCAGTTTTAGGATATCGATCCTCACAAATAAACATAAGTTAATTTGATTCCATACAAGAAATTCATCGCATATGTCACAAGACATGAGCTTGCATACATTATTTACTAAGGCCAATTTAGAAAGAAAAAAAAACTTTAATTTGTCTCTGATTTTGGTCTATTAATAAATATGAGATTTGAGTTTTAGGTGAACTAAATGAAAACGACTTAGATGACGAAATTGTTCATGAGTTACAATCTTGAGAAACTTTTCCTAACCCATGTATAAACCTACAAAAGTTTCAAAGGATCGACAAAACTCTATCTATCTAAATAGATTTTCATCGGTTGTGGTTGTGTCTCGTCCGGGAGGAGACATATCCATGACCATCGACGGCGAGGTTCGGAGGGAGAACTGACGAAACTCAGAAACACAAGAAATATAAACCTGTTTAGAGACATAAAAGAAATAATAAACGGGTTACCCGTTTAATTTGATAAATCCGCTAATCCCGTTTGTATCCCGTTTAGTTTAGAGTGTATATAAACAGGTCACTTACAAAATTAGTTGAATACAAGTAAAAAAATAAGAATATAAAGTTTGTAATTTTAAATAATGAAAAATTTGAAAAATTATTTACAATACGATGTGAAAACTAACTGGATTAAAAAGATTTAATATGATGTGAAAACTAATCGGATCAAAAAATTACAATACGATATGAAAACTAATCGGATCAACTAGTTTCCTAAATTAAATTTGTTTTCGCATTTTTATGTTGATATGCCCATATGGGCATCAATTATTGACTATTGTTTTGTTTTTTTTCCTAGATTTTCCTAACACTTCCTTTTAGAGACCAATATTATGTGATATTTTTTATTGGCTTTAATTGGTAGTCATGTACCGGAGTGATACAAGGTGTACCACTTTACTAGTTACCATTTGATATGAGTCAAATTAAGACCTAAGACTACTCTCTCAAATAAGAGATCGGATTGTAGTACTTAAGGGTCGAATTCCACAAAGTTCTCGTTGTTCACACAATAATCAATTCAGCAATCGAATTAAGCTAAATATAAAATAAGATAATCAAATAAAACTAGCAAGTGAATGAGGTTTTAAATCAATTGATGGAAGAGCTAGACCTAAGGTTGTTCCTTTAGTAAATCAGAATTACAAATTAAACAGCATGCAAGGGTTTATTAAGCACCGTTCTTGAACTCAAATTACAAATATTAAATTAACCACCCTCGAATGAAGTAATTCTCTATGCCTAATAATAGAAATTCCACCCTCTCGAATGCAAACTCCTAGAATTAAACAAGCATTAAAGTCCAAGTTTGATATGTTCACAAAAGTACTAAACCACCTCTGGAATGAGAATAGTCCTTTTGCTCACCTAAGATTATTTCAGACCTCTCGAATCTATCTAATATCCTATGAGCTAGATTCCAGGTGATCAGTCTAGAACTAGTAATTATATCAAATCTAGGTGAAGAACCCTAAAATTACCCTACCAATTGTTCAACTTAGCAATTCATCAATACATGGAAAAACCCTAAGTCTAACAGGTGAATTACTCAGACATGGTAATAGAAACACAAATCATAGTCTGAATAAACTGCATTTTAAAAAAAATAAGAGATAGAGTAAGGGAGTTCTGAATCTCTCTGAAGGAGTCTGATTCTTCTCCCCAAGCTAATACAAAACCTCTCCAAAAAATAAAGCTTAATTGTCTTACAAAGATAAAAAAAAACTAATAATATACAGTAAAACCTCTATTAATTAATACTCTATAAATTAATAACTTCTCTAAATTAATAAATTTTTCTGGTCCCGAGTTGGGACCAGTGTAAAATATGACATAAATCGATAAATTAATAAAATAATAATTTTTTTGAAAATCTCATATAAATATATGGTCCCATCTATATCATAAATTAATAATTGTATAAATTTATCAATATATATATATGTATATTTAACTTAATATATATATGATATAAATTTATATATATCATATATAAATTACTACGATATATATTTATAATATTATATTTAAAAATTTTAATGAAATATGAATCTATTATTCGAAAATTGTTTGTGTTGTTTTTTAAACTTAATAATTGCTTCTCTACTTGTAATTAGTTTTTAAAAGATATTGTTTATATAGAAAAAAATTATTTTTAGATAGAAATTACAAAATTAGTGAAATCTCTCTATAAATCGATAAATTTATACCTCTCTAAATTAATAAAATTTCGTGGTCCCAACATTATTAATTTATAGAGGTTTTACTGTAGTCTAAAACACGTCGGAGACTTCTTTTGTCTAACAGGAACATAAGGGCAATTCTGTAATTCTTCAAAACTTGATAAAACGTGCAACGTTTAGTGAAAACGCGATGGTGTCGATCGACACTGATGGTGTCGGTCGACACCAAGACACTCTGATCGTTCCAAGTTGATCTTGTTAGCCGTAATGCTCCAAATGTCTAGCTTTTGCTCCATAATTCGCCCAATCCTGTAAGTACCTGCAAAGACTCTAAAAGACGCAAAAAAGACCAAAAAGACTTTAGAAATACAACTAATATCATGGTTAAAATCAGTAAAAACCACGATATATCACCAATCACAAAAACACTACTAAAAACGTTACACGAAAGGTCTCAGTTTTTTTTTTGTACAGCTTTCATATACTATTATTTCTTACAATTTTACACTATTCTATAAAAACTTACCGTTTCAACTTACAGCTAAAATTTTTGCACAACTTTGTGTTACCAATCGAACTATTGTCTCGTTACAAATTTAATTATGGAATAATAGTTTTTGATAATTAAGTTTGGTAGAATTGTTACTTTTTGTCAACAGATTAACCATATTACTTAACCAAGAGTAGTATATGTATAAATTTTTTACCAATATCTCATGCTGGTTAATCTGCTAATTAGGTCAGCTAATTTAAGATTTTCGTCAACAGTTTTGCCAGATTACACCAATTTCAGTTTTATCTCAAGAAAAAAAAAGAAAAATAAAAGACCTTCTTTTCAGTTATCTCAGATTTGGTAAAGTTTCAACTTCAAAGAATTCGAAGAGACCATCTCCAGAAAAAGCTGAAATCTTTGGCTTCGTTTTCATCAATTCGAAACTCAAACTTGTGAAATTCCAAATGGGTAATCATTTTCTAACGTTATCTCTGCTTCTCGTAACAGTCTGCGTTTGCGTTTCTTTCATCACCACGAAGCTAAACCCTAAAGAAGCAATCGTATCTGTCTCCTCCGATTCTGAGATTCGTACTGAAATTCACGGAGTCAAGATCTTGCGTCAAGCTTCTGATACCAAACTTGCTCAACTAGGCGTAGCTTCTTGGCCCAAGTAAGTAACTTTCTTTATCTCTCTCTGCTTATTTGCTTCAATGACGTTGATACAGAACTAGGGTTTAGAGTTTCCTCAATAGCTCTTTGGGATTCATCGAAATTAGGCAAAACAAATAGCTTTACTTGTTTGTTAGTGTTGATCCAACATGAGGATTTGCATCATCAATTTTGATTCCCTGCTGCAAGAATCTGTTGACATATACTTGTGTCTGAAACAGACAAGTTCACTTGTGTCTGAAACTTTTCAGACAAGTTCACTTGTGTCTGAAACAGACAAGTTCACTTCTGTCTGAAACAGACAAGCTCACTTCTGTCTGAAACAGACAAGCTCACTTGTGTCCGAAACAGACAAGAGCTCACTTGTGTCCGAAACATGAATCATGTAATTTTGTGTTAGTCTCTCTACAAATACAAATAGTTTGCTAAAACTTTTCAGACAAGCTCACTTCTGTCTGAAACAGACAAGCTCACTTCTGTCTGAAACAGACAAGCTCACTTCTGTCTGAAACAGACAAGCTCACTTGTGTCTGAAACAGACAAGCTCACTTCTGTCTGAAACAGACAAGCTCACTTGTGTCCGAAACAGACAAGTTCACTTGTGTCCGAAACAGACAAGTTCACTTGTGTCCGAAACAGACAAGTTCTCTTGTGTCTGAATCATGTAATTTTGTGTTAGTCTCTCTACAAATACAAATAGTTTGCTAAAACCTTGGTTGATTCTTGAAATAGACGAGAAAACAGAGGAAGGGTAAATGCATTAGTGTGGTAACATCACATTTTTAGACTGAATTGTGATGTACATTGAGTAGGTGGGAAGGTGCTCCAAGCAAGTTTCCATGGGAGTTTAAGAAGACGGAAACGATATATTTCGTGGAGGGGAAGGTGAAAGTGAATGTAGACGGATTCGACGAAGAAGAAGAAACGTTCGAGATAGGGAAAGGAGATGTTGTTGTTTTTCCTAAAGATATGAAAGTTGTTTGGGAGATAACTGAAGCTGTGAAGAAACATTATAGCTTAGAGGAGTAGTGACTTTAGTTTGTAGAGAGAATTTGAGTCGCATTGATGTTTGTTTGTTGTATTGTATCTGGTTGCTAACTTTGAACTAAGCCTATCTATGGAATTGCAATGTTGATGGGGATTATGGTTATAGCTCTCACGTTTCGAAACTTTGGGAGATTTTGTTAGGTGACATGTGGTGTAAATATATGTAAGGGCCCTAGTTATAGGCCATCCATAAGTACCCTATCCACTTGAAAGACTCAAAGAGAACATTGCTTGAATCTTTAGCTTCTCTTTCATCCATTCAAGAGACTCACCGTTGTGTACTCTAATGGGAAACTCTAAAGAAGCAATCATATCTCTCTTGAATTCTGGGATTCTTACTGAAATTCATGGAGTCAAGATCCTACGTAAGTTTCGGATACCAAACTTGCTCAACTAGACTACACTTCTTGGACCAAGTCAGTTCCTTTCTTTCTCCCTCTCTTGACTCTTTTTAATATGGTCTCTGCCTCGTTGCTTCAATGGCGTAGAAACAGAACTAGCGTTTCCTCGATGTATTTTATTCAATGAAATGAACAATCAGAACCAATTAGTGTTGCTCCAACCAGATGATTTATATCCGTAAATTTACCTCTGTTCCTGCTGCAAGAATCTGCTTAACATTCATGTACTTAAATTTTATAGTCTCTCCGAAATTGTGTTAGTCTTTACAAAATATTTGGCTAATAGCTTGGCTGATTCTTCAGAAAAAAGACTGAAAAAAGGCAGTAATTAATTTAGACATTTTACATTTTGATTGCCTTAGCCTGAATAGTAATGACTGAGTCATGTACATTAAGCAGGTGGGTAGGTGATCGAAGCACGTTTCCATGGACGTTTGAGAACACAGAAACAATTTATTTCGTCGAGGGTAAAGTAAAAGTGAATGTAGAAGGACATGAAAAAGAAGAAGAAGCCTTTGAAATAGGGAAAGGAGATGTAGTTATTTTCCCTAAAGACATGAAATGTGTCTGGAATATAACTGAATCCGTAAAGAAATATTTCATACACGAGGAGCTGTGAACTCACCGGTTCTTATAGGTATCGCTTGAAACCCCAATCATAAAGCGATACCTACTTCGTATATCTTTTGATTATTTTGGTATCGCTTACCGCTCATTCTTTCAGCTGAAAAACTTGTACAGCTTTGTGTTACCAGTCGAAATCACTGTTTACAAAATGGACTTGTGTCACATTTATGTTTGTTTGTCGTACGTCTAGCTACTAGTTTGAATACTAGCTTATTGATGGTGTTGCAATGTTTATACCTCTCTGGTACTTAAAACTTGATCTTATGTTCATGACCAATGTTTTCAGATCCAAACCGGTTGATCCGGAACAAAATTGTTGAGCTGAAAGCTTTCATTCATTGAAACCAAAATTGAATTGAAAATTTCATGTTTCAAGAAATTATATATATAAAAAAACTATATATTATACACAATTTAATTAGGACCCCAACAGCTCAAGTACATGACTGTTCTTAGCGATTCTTCAGCCTTCTTCGCCTTTTCACTTTCACCAGAGGAGGCAACGGCGGCGGAAACAGCCGCCGAAAACCTTTTCCCTTGAGAAACAGATCTGACGTTGTTCCGTAGATGTTGATTCACTGACCGGAGTATGTAGTTCCACCGACAAAGACCTAATTGGTCTTTTAATGCCTCTACAGCTCCGATGCTCACTGCTACCGTCCATGCTTTGCTTGTAGAACTCATCTTTTCTTTTTCTTTGCGTTTTGAGAATTGTTGTTGTGTGTGTTTTTGATGATGTTTAGAAAGTGAAGTGAATTGGTGTATTTATGTAAGAGAGAAGAAGCCAACAATATTGCTGTGAAGTTGGAGTCAAAACTACAAGCTGTGGCCGTTGGTTTTGTTCGTTACTACTGTCTGGTTAGTGAAATGACGTTTTTAGCCTTTTAAATGAACTGGATAAGGGGTAATATTGGGATTTTGGTAGCTCCTGGATTAACAAAGTGCCGCTATGTGCACCTGGTTTTGGGATTGTTTGGATCTCGTGTTGTGCCCACATTTCGAATCATAAAGGTTTCTTTATTTCTTTTTAGAATATCCGTATCCGTATCCGTATCCGTATTATCCGCCAATTTGGTATCCGTATCCGGATCCGGAATTCCGGATATCCGGTATCCGGAATTCCGGATATCCGTTAAAAATCCGGATATCCGCGAATATCCGTAGACATGCAAAAAAAAAAAAAAAAAAATCATTTTTTCATATAAAATACTGTATTTCGTATAAAAATACCGTATTTTCGTATAAAAATACCGTATTTTCGTATAAAAATACCGTATTTTCGTATAAAAATACAAAATAACCGGATATCCGTTATCCGTTTTTAAAATTAACATTATCCGTATCCGTATCCGTATCCGGAATATCCGTTATTTTATTATCCGTATCCGTATCCGTTTTCCCGGATATCCGTTTTTTCGGATAAAAAAACGGATACGGATACGGATATCCGCGGATACCGGGTAATAATCTCAGGCCTAATGTCGACATGAATAATATCATTAAAAAAAATAGATAAGCACAACAATATATCAAAAAAAACAACACAAAGTTCAATGCAAATAAACATAAAATAAGGTGTGCGATCCATTTTTTTTTTACTTTTAATTTTTTTAATATATAAATTTAATACTTATCTATTTCAAATTAGATGTCGTTTAAGATTTTTTTAAACAATTACATTTTATGTTACTATGGAATAATATATTATATTTTTATTATTATTATTCAAGACATTAAAACAGTCGAAATAAAACTTAAAAATTTACCCAACTTCTATATTAAAAACTTATTACGATACTTGTTATGAAATAAATTTTAAGTTTTGCCAAAATAATTAAAGTGATACGGAAGAAATATTCGAATAATCGACAATAAAACTATTCTCATCAATATTTCCGCTATATTAGAAAGCGAAACAGAAGAGATTTTAAAAGAGAAATTTGTTTTATTCTATCATTTCTTCAGTCACTCTATAATTTTTTTTCAAGTACTATATTATTTTAAAATTTTATAGATTTAATATATAGATCCTTTTAGTATAAGCCGCGACTACTATGGGCAAAAGCGTCATTTCGACTAACATTCATAGTTTCAGCAGAAACCAAAAAAACCAGCAGCTACAACGTCCTCTGTTTTCAACTCCAAACTCGCGGCGCTTTTTGTATTCTTCTTCTCTGTTTATAACTTTATATAAACAAGCCCCACTTCTCCTTCATCATCAACAAACACAAAAACGAAACCAAAATCACTCAAACAAGACAGAAACAAAAATGAGTTCTGCAAGCAAAACATGGATGGTGGCTGCAAGCATCGGAGCCGTCGAGGCATTAAAAGACCAACTAGGCGTGTGCCGTTGGAACTACGTGATCCGATCAGTGAATCAATATCTCCGTAACAACTTAAGATCCGTTTCTCAAGCTAAGAAGCTTTCTTCCTCATCATTCGATTATACCAACAAGACCAAGCAAGCTGAAGAATCGCTAAGGACAGTCATGTACTTGAGTTGTTGGGGTCCTAGTTAATGGACAAGGATCAAGATTTGAAAAACCCTAATCATAGAATTTTTATAATGTCTCCTTTAGGGTTTAAAACCCTAAAAAAATGCATATAATTTGCTCTGTATAGTGACTCTTGAACTAATGATTAATCTCATTTTATAAGATTTGTTCAAATTATATTTTCTATTAATGATGACTCAAAATTGAGATTGTTAGGTCCCTAAAATGGAGGTTTTTTTACAGTCAAAAGTTTGGACTGAGTTTTTACAACAAATTAGGGAATTTGTTAATGCTTATCCCATTTTTCATGCATTTCTGTTGGTAATTCTCCAGCTTAATAAAGAGAGGTCTTTTTGTTTATGTGTGTTAACATATTTCTTGTTTAGAGTAAAATTAGATTTTTCACAAAAGATGGCTAATACTCCATTGATTGTTTCTTTTGGTGAAATGCTTATCGACTTTGTCCCTGACACTTCTGGTGTTTCTTTAGCTGAGTCCACCGGTTTTCTCAAAGCCCCTGGTGGTGCTCCGGCTAATGTTGCTTGTGCCATTACCAAACTCGGTGGCAAATCCGCTTTCATCGGCAAGGTTTGTGTGTTTCTTATGTTAGAATCTATTCTTGTCTATAGATTGATTGATGGTGTAATGTTTTTTTAGTTTGGTGATGATGAGTTTGGACACATGTTGGTGAACATATTGAAGAAGAACGGTGTGAACAGTGAAGGTGTTTGCTTCGATACCAACGCAAGAACCGCGTTGGCTTTTGTGACGTTGAAGAAAGATGGTGAGAGAGAGTTTATGTTTTACAGGAACCCGAGTGCTGATATGCTTCTGAAAGAATCTGAGCTCAACAAGGATCTTATCAAGAAAGCCAAGATTTTCCACTATGGTTCCATTAGCTTGATCTCTGAGCCGTGTAGAGCGGCTCACATGGCTGCGATGAAAACCGCTAAAGATGCAGGAGTTTTACTCTCGTATGACCCGAATGTTCGGTTGCCTCTTTGGCCTTCTACTGAAGCTGCTATAGAAGGCATCAAAAGTATTTGGAATGAGGCCGATATTATCAAGGTATGTTTGTTTTTGTTGTAAAACCGGACTCGCGATGTTCTCTGTTTCGATGATCTTAGTGTCGAGTGTGTAGGTAAGCGATGATGAGGTAACATTCCTCACCCGTGGAGATGCGGAGAAGGATGATGTTGTTTTGTCTCTCATGCATGATAAGCTTAAGCTGCTTATTGTTACTGATGGAGAGAAAGGTTGCAGATACTACACAAAGGTAATGAAAAGGAATTGAATTCGAATATGATTGTGCCTTTTAGAGTGAACTAAACAAAGGTTTTTTCGACTGCCAAATACGCAGAAATTCAAAGGGAGAGTGCCCGGATATGCTGTGAAAGCAGTTGATACAACTGGAGCTGGTGATTCTTTTGTTGGTGCATTTCTTGTCTCACTAGGCAAAGATGGCTCCATACTCGATGTACGTATACACCGCAGACATTTCGATGACGGTTTTTCAGTTATTAGGCATATGAATCGAGTTTTGATGTTTGTGTAATGTTATTATTGCAGGACGAAGGGAAACTGAAGGAAGCACTTGCCTTTGCAAATGCATGTGGAGCTGTGTGTACAACTCAGAAAGGAGCTATTCCTGCACTTCCAACTCCATCTGATGCTCAAAAGCTCATGAAATCTAAGTCCAAATAGTTTCACTCTTGTTCTGTCTTGTTTCTGTTTCTTCACTTTTGTATTGAATCTGGTCAATTTTCCCAGTTTTTTTCTCAGAGTATTTTCTCTGTTATCTGAATAAATCTAGTTTCAAGTTGCTGCCAAAATTGATTCCAAACAAATCCACAGATCTTTATTACATGAATGATGTTCTATAAAAAATAATCAACAGACTATACAATATAAAGAAAGACAATTTTATTCCATATAGAAGATTACACAGATTTTGGTAGATAGTTTACAACACATCACACTCTATTTTGCTTACACAAAATAAAACTCAAATCCTTGGATTTATAAACTCTCTTCACACTCAAAGATAGATAGATAGATAAACTTATATTCATTTAGAGTTCTTTGGATTCAGAAGAGCTGATTTTTGCAGTTTTGTCTTCTTCAGCTGCAATGTTAACAACTCTTGGACCCTTGACCTTTTCAGGAGATAGTTTTGTGAGGTTAATAGTGAGCACACCATTCTCTAGCTTGGCTTTGACAGATTCCATATCCACATTATCAGGTAGCTTGAACTGTCTCCAGAACTTTCCATATGATCTCTCCACTCTATGCCATTGATCTCCTTTCTTCTCTTCTTCTCTTTTCCTTTCTCCACTGACTCGTAAAACTCGATTCTCCTCAACTTCTATCTTTACTTCATCCTTCTTTAAACCGGGGACATCGAGCAGTATCTCATGCCCTTCTGCTGTTTCTTTCCAGTCTACTCTTGCTGGTGACAGAGCCACACTCGTGTCCCTCTCGAGTTCTAATGGGATTCTCTCCAAGATCTTGAATGGATCGGGGAACCGGTCTAGCCAGAGATCGGATAGCAAGCTCCCTGGAGTAGTTTCAAGTGCAGAAGACAAAGATCCTTCACTTGTTTTGATGTTTCCAAGTAACAAAGCTCCTATGAAGAAGATGCTTAGCAAGTGCTTCATCATGGTTAGTGATTTAGCTTTCTTGTAGAAGGTTGAAACCAAAGTGTTAAGTAGGCTTTTAACTTTACTTCTTGTTGTTTTCTATGAAGATAAGTCTCAATTCTCTGGTGTATATATATATACACATTGTATGAAGGAAGAATGAAGAAGTTTCTTGAAATATCTTTTGCTAGAGTTTTGCAGAGATATTGAGATTGTTCTAGCTTTTTTTTTGGCTATGTGACTTGTACTAATTATGCTACTACACGTTGGATAAGTTTGTTGTGCCTTTAAGTCTTCTATCATTTTCCAGAGACTTCATGTAAGAACTCTGGTGAGCCAAAACAGAATTAGATTGGATTGGGCCATGATATTAGTTTCTATGCAGGCCTACTTTTTCATTGGCCCATTATTATAATTAGGACAAAACTGTTTTTTGATGAGTCTTAGAGCTTTGGCTGCTGCATATATGGGAAAGGGATGGGGGAGAGAGTGAATGATGCCATTCTCCATTTCAGTTTCTGACATGTTAGAGTTTTTGACCTCTATTGCCCTATGGCTAGTTACTTTAATTCCTCACAGTCGATATGCATATTGTGGTCCTCCCATTACTTTTGGCTTGCCATGCTTGTGTCTTAAGAGAAGCTTGTCGCTATGTTTGTCAATTTATGTTTTCAAAAGAAAGTAAACTATACAAACTTCTGAAAAAGATCTTGTCATGGAGATTTTGGTAGGAGAACATTTATTGATATAAATGCCAACCAAAGTTGGTCTAATTCTAACCCCATATTGAGATAAAGATTTCGTCTTCGACCTAATCGTTGTATCTATATATAGTTCTCTCTTTTCATGAATAAAGATCATCAATTCCACTTGGTATCAGAGCCAGGTTTTGATATAGCTTATATGCCCACCACACATGTGAACCTATTCAAGCTTGTTCTTTCTTATTCCCTCTGTCTAGATTCACTCCTTGTTCTAATTCTCATAAATGTCAAAGAACATTTGCTCTGTCTTTGTATAGGAAAATTACATTGAAAGATGAAGATACAATGTGAAGTGTGCGAGAAGGCTGAAGCAGAAGTACTTTGTTGTTCAGATGAAACTGTTCTATGCAAGCCATGTGACATTAAAGTTCATGAAGGTAATAAAATTTTCCAAAGACATCACCGAGTCGCCTTACAAAAAGATGCATCCTCAGCCACCACAGCCTCTGGAGCTCCTATGTGATATCTGCCAGGTTCCAATCTCTTTTCTCTTTAAACACTCGCTGAGTTCTTTAACCGGTCGCTAAACAACAACATATATATATTTGTAGGAGAGAAAAGGGCACTTCTTCTGCTTAGAGGACAGAGCATTGCTGTGCAATGATTGTGATGAAGCCATTCACACTTGCAATTCTCACCAAAGATTCTTACTTTCTGGAGTCCAAGTTTCTGATCAGTCTTTAACTGAAAACTCTGAATGCAGCACTAGTTTTAGCTCTGAAACTTGCCAGATTCAGTCTAAAGTGTCTCTGAATAGTCAGTACTCTAGTGAGGAAACTGAAGCTGGAAACTCAGGTGAGATAGTACACAAGAATGCTTCTGTAATCTTAAGACCTTAGAGATACACACAACATCATGGTTCCGGCCGGAGCCATTGAAGTCTAATAATAAAAGTTGCTGTAATTAAGTAAATATATTATTTCACTCAGAATGAAAAACTGGTTGAGGAATCAAATCCTTTTGTTACAACAAATATATTAAAACATGACTTAATAACTAAAGTCAGTGGTCATGGCATCGACACAACCAAAGCTAAGTTGTTCCAATAGTTTCGAGAATTGTAGAAACGTGAAATTAAATACGTAGATAAGTAGAAACTATTTTGTCGGTTTTTTTTTTCTGTTAAAATCATCAGCCAATTATAGTTTGACAAGTATATGTCTCTCTCTAGTTCCCAAAACTCTTAACACGATTCTCTTGAGATTTATCAGTTTTGATTTAATCAGAGAAACCCACCCTAAACTCAATAAAACTCTCCATTGGAGATGCTCTAATTGCATCGATTGCAGTTATATTAACTAAGTACAAGAGCTGAATACATAAAGAAATAAGAGGACACCATGTGTCTTTAAAAAAACATTTTTAGTTTGTACTTTGTACTAAACACATATTTTTTTTACTAAATACAAATATCAAATATCAAGAGTTGGATAGATATTGCATAACTTAATGTGACAATCTTATATTACTAGCTCTCGTACTTTCCTTTTGCCTCATTCCAAAATAAACCTTGTTGGATTTGAACTTTTTTCTTTCCCTTTCTAACAAAATCAAACAAGTTAAAAAAAAAGATATAAAGCTGTTCTTTAAATTCCTTTAAACTCGGTGTATTTGAATCTAGACTTCCTATTTTGGAGATTACTAGTTAATGCAGCTGAGAGAGAAAAATTTCAATGTTTTATGGTAATTAAGCCAGGAATAAAAAGGTGATTTAAGGTATATAATCTGAACCAATAGATATAATAGATCACGCTTTAAGTGAACAATTAATCTGCGAGGAAACTCAATTGATTCCGGTCGAATCAGTTGAAAATAGAGAAACAATCAACAATTATACTCAAATTCTAATATGTCGGATTGACATTTCGTGGAAACAATCGTATCCTACCATTGGTGGTGCTTTCGAGGAGACGATCTTACAATTCTATTAGGAGCAAAATGTCAGCAGACGAGCTCATCCCCTCTTCACGCATAAACAGAAGCTCTTTTATTGGCTATGAAAATAATCCTCTTCAGAAGGATTGATTGTCAGATATTCGAGATAGATAGTACGAAACTAGTTTCGATGGTGCAGGCGCCGAAATTGGTTTGCTTCGTGATTCATTTTCTTCTTTCATGCTTTCTTGCTAATGTAATGCTAAGGCATATTGCCTAGCCTGTTACTCTAAAAGTTTATTTTCTGAAATTTTATTTGTACACACTTTTCCTCCAGATTGAGCAACCAATCGTGAAGTGACTTTTTAACTAATGTGTGGTTGACAAAAAAAAACAAATTTCTCTTAAGTTTTTATTTTATTTTATTTTTCTTCATACTAAGAAACTTATTCTCTTGATTTCTTTCAGACATTATTACAATTTTGGAATAATGCTAAGTCACTATGAAAGTTTATATACACTTAGGGCCTCCATAGATAATAAGATGACCTACATGTGGCCAAAAACTCTCTAATGTATCTCTCACTTCATAACAACTGTCTGAATACCTCTCTGTATTTTTCACAATTTTGTCGGTATTATAATTTTCGTCTACAGTCGTGATCAAACGGATATATGAGTCTGCTATGGGGCTCCCCGTCGGATACTGACTATTTCCCATTGGAGGATTTGGAGGCGAAGGGCTATAGACTTCACCACCCCATTCGACCCTTGTACCAGAACTTTCATTGAATCTGCTTGATGGCCAGAACCCAATTTCTTCCAAGGAGGTGCCCATCAACAGCCACCAATTCCCGTTGATTTTGTCCTGCACTCAAACTTTAAATATTAGCAAAAAAAATGGGGGAACCGCGAGAATCTATATCTGTTCTTACTTTTGTTAAACTATAATTGACAAAGATCTTCATTGAATTTAATTTTTGAATTATTTAAAAAATTTAATATGAAAAAATGACAATAAGTTATATATATTGGATGTGATACAAATATCCTAACATTAAATTTTCAGTACCCATATCCATATTCATATTTGCATGCATCTACATATTACTATACATACCATATACTCAAACGTTCTTGAATGCCCGAATATATAGAGTTATGAGTATAATAGTTGGAAAAGAACTTACCTTCATTATGGTGAAGTCAATACTTTTATTCCCAGTAAGTAGACCAGGAGTAAAATCTTCACTAACTAGTATCATTCCGGATCCATCCGGACAGAAGAGATTATAACACTCATGTCCTCCTGACTGAATCAAACCATATAATATGCGACTTTAAATCATTGAATTATCAATTATGCATAAGTCGTGTATTTGGTAAAAATTATATAAAAACAAGATCTAGTCCGCTCACATTTGTAAATACGAATAGCCGAGAGCTAGAGTCATGGTATAATTGCGGGTGTACCTAAAATGAATAAAAAATATGATTCATATACATTAATAATAGAAAAGGATAAACTCTAATACATCGAATATAAAAAATAGCGGATCTGAATTTATATTGACTTACGGTCCAACCAACTTGGATGAATTCATTTCCAATTTGAAAATGCATCCGACTAGAGCTAAATTGCATAGGTTCAACTGAAGGAGTGAATGCATTAATATTCATAGACGCACCATTGTAAATCCTAGGTTTTCCATTAGTAGTCCGCACCACAGCAAACTGAATAGTAAATACAATGGTTGAGAAAACTAACATTGTGATATGGCTAAATTGTAATGCTCAGAAATTAGAATCAATATCTTATAAATTGGTATAAGTAATTTGAGTTAATAGAAAGCACTATTTTGATGTATTCAAATATAACAGTATCAGATAATAGATAATATTAAATTATGAATTACAATATACAATTACTTATATTTCCTAATATATCATCCACCATATATAAACTTTCCACGAAAATATAATCAAAATCATGTATTTGTAATAAAGCTATATATTATTAACATGAATGTTTTTGTAATATTTTTGTATTCATCAAATAAAAAAGAATATATTAATCATTGTTTTAGTTAATAATTATGTGCAAACATTTTCATCTATAATTTCAGCTTTTCCACCAATCTTGTTATTATAAAGTTCTATTATATATTTTTAACATTTCTTACTCGTAAGATAAAAACTTAAAGAAAGCACTTACATGATGATTTTCAATAGAAGATGTAGGTTTATAGGGTTTTCTCCACGAACTTTGCGGATTAGAATTATCGCCATCGAAGGATTTCATTTTCAAAAGAGCGTCTTTATTGATTCGAAGTATAGGAACGGTACCAATAGGACAGCCTACGCCATTCTCCCAAAAGTGACCAAATGTTTTGTTACTATGTGTCTCTCTTTTCATTTTTGATTCTCCGAGGTATGACATACGCATCTGCACATCAAAATCCAATATAAATTAATTAATTAGTCATACCAAAATTATATTTTAATAAAGATACTCTTTTTAAATTAATCTACTATAAAAAATGTAAATTGAAAATCAAAAGTACATTTTTGAAATATCACTCGCTAATCAAAATACCGTATCAATTACTTATACTTCATATTAAATATGTTAAAAAATTTAGTCATTATATGTTTATCCAATAGCAGTTTTAAAAAAAAAAGGTAGCTTAGTTTTTAGAAAGAAGTTTACCAAATAGCAATAGAGAAGATTGCAATAAAGTAAATAACAATAATTGGAAATATAAATTTGCATTTTATCTTTTTATTTTAACAATTACCGGAAACTTTACTTTTCTTTATGTAACATGTTATTTTGTTATATAGAGGTCTAATGTTTCACATGGTAGGTGATATTTATTATTCATTACTGTTTTATTTGATTATGTAGACGTCTAACTTATCACATGACGTTCAAACCAAACTAAATCCTAAACTTAAATTCTTATTAGATTCTAATATCCAATCTAGTGGACACACACAAAATTACTTATCTCGTAATATTTAATAAAATAATAAAAATAATCCAAAAATCATATCAGTCACAATATTGCCAATTTCTTAATACCATCTATTTACATAGAGTTGTAATCCTCTAAATATCAAGAAAATACATATTATCAATGTAAATACCTTATAGTGAATTGTGTAGTTCTTCATGGATGAGTGGTCAAGTCCTGGTTGTTTGTAGAAATCCACGCAGCCATACCGCTCACCATTAATAGACTGCGGATTTATAAAGAAAAAAATATATTATCTGTTTTTATAATATTCCATAAGTGTTTCACGCATGATTTCATAACTTTTATCGTCTTTCTATTATACATATCCAAGGATACTTAGGATAAAAATTCTAATGTTAGATATATTTGATAAACACATTCAATTATTCTATAACATGTTGAGAAGATAAACCTTTATGATTTTAACTGCAGGTTTGTTGATAAGCTTAAGTTTTTGCTCTATTTCAAGATCTTCATTACTTTTTAATATCTTTGGTTCTTTTACAACGCCATGGCAATGACCCATTAGAAAGCTACAACATATAATATAGCATGCCAAAATTATGCACATCAGTGGAAGTCCACACCCCAATTTCATTTTCATCAACCTGTAGACTAGAAAAGTGAGATCATTAGTTTTTCTTATATATATATATATATATATATATATATAGTAGTTGAAAAAAGATTTGAAGAATTCATTTGGGATAATCACCTTCTTCCTATAAATGTAATATGTCTGAATGCTTCATTAGAGTAGAATATACATATATATATATATATATAGATATATATATATACACTTGGTCAGAGGTTAGACAAAATAATTACTTACAGATAGTAATTACATTTCTTTTAAATCCATTCAAACCTAAATACATTGGTATAATAGTATATATCTTTGAACCTTACACAAGTCAAACAAAATTTCTTCTTAAATTAAGTAATTTCTATCAATACATTTAAGAGATTTACTATTATCTTTAACGCTAATTAACTTAACAATTGAAGGTTAGCATAATTAATTGTGGACCATACATAAGTCAAACATAATTTCTTCAAAAACTAAATAATTTTCATCGATACATTTATGATATTTATTCATATCTTTGATGCTAATTGTTTTACACCAGCATGACATATTATTTTAACATTTTTCTTAAAAAGGAATCTGAAAATGATAATTTTAGTTAAGTATTTGTATTAAATTTATATGTGTAGTTTGAAGATAGTAACTTTTTTCTTGCTTTTACAATCCTATTGTATAAAATATATTTATAAATAAATTAAAAGAAAATGTATTATAAATAAAATGATGCGACATAATTTATGTTAGTATAGAACTAGTTGTGTGATGATTCAGAATGACAAATGAAACAGAAAAAAAAAGTAAAATAAAAAAAATTATCATCATATGAGAGCTTTAGAAACTCAGAATTTTATAGTGATATTATCAAATAAATAAATCAAAACTAATTATATGTGTCAATTATTTTAACTATAGAAATTAAATTCGAAACTTAATTTGACATTACTATCCTTATCGGCTAAAGCTGTGATTCATAAAACGGTAAAAATTACTAGGAACTTAAACCTTATTATGTCTAACATTCCTGGTGCGACAGTTGAGGGAGTAGTGAAAGGAATAGTTGATGAAACTACTGTTGAGGTGATAACAACTAATTTATATCAATACAGATAGTATATTGTTAGTGATAATTAATTTTTTTCCCGTACTTACAGGTCACTGCATATCCTTTTTATCATGATACCCTTTTTGCCAAGCTCTAGCAAACTAAGTTCTTTTGGTTAATCATTTTCTCTTGGCGAACAAAGTCTTTCTGGTGAATACAGTCCCTGAAAGTATGTTCGAACTTATTTGTGCAACGATAATAGAAGTAATGAAGTCCACTATAAGTGATTTTAAATTGTTGTATTTTGTAACATCTAATACTTTGCAAGTTGCAGAAATAGTAACTTATATATAAACTTTTGGCAGACAAAAATCATTAGTGAGGGACTGGCTAGAGAGTGCTTATTGTATTCAGTCATCTAACTATGAGATTAGTATTTCGTGATGTGACATATGAATTGTCAAAGAAGATATCACTCATGTCTTGACATGGAAATCTTAAGATCATTAAGAGAAATGTTCTCGAGCGATTATGAAGCATAGTGAACTTAAAGGTTATAGGGAAATGGTTATTCATCCGAGTACAAGCTGCAATTTTTGTTGCTAAACCATTGAGAAAGTAGTCTAGGCTACAATACCGACAATATATAATCGCTAAACCATCCCAAGATATCGAAGCTTCTTGTGCGCCTTATGTTTTTTGCGTACTGGTTCATATGTTATGAGGTTTTGTCCAATAGATTGGTTTTGATAAAAGGACCTGATTATCCTTGTTACGTGGGCAATCCAGTATTACAACATTGGGTAGAAATCACTTCCCCTCCACCAAGTCTTTCTTCTGTGTTTGGTTTGGTGACACGCGTGGATAAGGATGGCGTTGTTTTAAGGTTCAAAGTGATTAGGTTAGTTTCACTGATACCAACGAGTGATGTATTCTGAATTTGTTTGAATATTTACAGAGATATTTGCACTCTCGGACACTTTATTGAAAGTGTTTGTGCGTTTATAAGGCACTTGCAAAGGAGAACGTACTTTGCCAAGCTTAATTGTCCATATTGCCCTAAAACCAATTATCATCTATTTCCAAACCAATACCGATTAGCAGCGACAATTTACCATCCCGTTTCCCATCTTCTTTACTATTTCTCGCCCCCAGTAAAACCCTAAATTCCTTGTTCTTTGCTTAGACTTGGTCGGTGATTTGGAGATCCGGCGATGTTCCTGGTTACATTCCTCGTTTTCAGATTAATTACTCGTTCTTTGGTTCCACTTTGAAGTTTCCGTTATTAATATTCTCTAATTATCATCATCTTTCTCTACTCCGGCTACATTTTGCAGTCATCTTCAACATGAATATCCTCTTCTGCAATCCTAATTTTGCAGCCATCGTTAACAGTTATCTCAGAATCTTGTTTTCTTTACGTACGTTTTGAATGCTTTTTACATATAAATATTGTAAATCTAGCATAATTTAAGTTTGAAAAGCTAAAGACTTTGAGTTTTATTTAATTGTTCGGTGGTTAAATCGATAATCTCAGAAGAAAAATTGCTTTCTCACCATTTTCTCATTTTTCTTCAACTCGCCGGAAATCTGTTAATCTATTTAACTCTATTCTATCTACTTGATAATGAAGCAAAATCAATTATTGCACCACTAACTTTTAGATTTAAAACAAAATTTCTTTCGATTTTAGGATAAAGAGTAAAACTCCTTCGTTCTCGATTTATTTTATTTTTTCTCTTAAATTCGGATTTTCTGAATTTTTATATATATTTAAGTAAAAGAAATAAAATATAATTAATTTTTGTCTTTTACGTAGTTTGGTTGTAGAAAAATAACTAAACCAACACAGTTACAAGAGCATTTTTGTCCAAAAAAAAAGCCCAAATAGTCAAATGGTGATAACGCAACTTGACTTTGCCAAATGGTGAGAAGAAAACTCAATTTCTTACGAAACGTAAAAATTTCTTTGAAAAAGAATCATCATTTGTTGGAGATGTGATTGCTTCTTTTCTCTAACTTCCATAAGCGATACAAGTTTGAAAGTGTAATACTTCACTCCTAGCCAAAAAAAAAAACGCTTTCTCTTTTATGCTTTCTCTTTATTATAACTTTTCATTCTCTGTTTAATCACTTACAAATATGTTACTTTCATAAAAAAAAATGTTTCAAACGATCGTATTTTTAATAATAATTTTTCTTTTTTATATTTTTATTTATAAAAGTTTTTAACATTTTTTGAAAACCATTTACAATATAACGCAAAAATTTGGTCGAATTTACATAATATTTTAAGTGTTAGTAATCAGTATCACAATAATTTAATACATAAACGTAATCCAAAAACATTTGGTAATATTTGTTGAAAATGTGCCTGGTTCATAACCTAGTTGAATATATAAGTCAGTGGAGTGGTCATGGCATCGACATAACCAAAGCTAAGCTTATCATAAGAATTTCACAAATTGGAATATCATGGCCGTCTTTAACATATACAAGTGGAGCAGGTTAACATCCAACTCAACAAAGAAAAGTTTGGATATAGGTTAAACTACCAAAGTACAAGAGATAAATAATATTTTGATCAAGTTTAGATATAGTTTTTGTTAATCCTAACTTTCTAAATCTTAACTGTTGTTGGAGCTTGTACCACAAGAGTTTATACACCACCGATGAACCTTAACCCAACTCATTTCCTTTTTCTATGCACTCGCACGAGCAAAAGTACAGCTCGGAAGGTAGGTGTCGTAAGACATAAAGAAACGAGTGGACACTTTTTTTTCTCTAAAAACGCCATTTTTTATCTAAAAACGCCATTATATGACTTCTTTTAAAATCAAATATCAAGACTTGGATAGATAAAATGCATAACTTAGTGTGACAATCATATAGAATTACTAGATCTTCTAGCTACTTCCCTTTTGCCTCACTCCAAGAATTACAAACCTTTTTGGATTTGAACCAAAGTTGGAACATAATTGACGACAAATGAGCATCTAGATTCTGCATCATGATGATCCACTTGTATACATTTATCCTCTCCCACAACGTGTAAGAAAACGTCAGAGACCCAATATTTACCGCGACACACCAAAACTTTGTTCTCCTGGTCGACCAAGAAATTCATCCCACGAGCAAAGCAAAAAGGCTTGTAGAGATTAGCTAAATCAACTGATAGGAACTTGCTCCATGACGCAGCTCCCGTACTCTCAATCGTAGTTGCAACCCATACATCTATATGGAGTTCTTGAATGATGCTCCGAGTAGCTATACAAATTTTTGGATCTTCTCTAGTAACTGATAAAGCAAAAATACGATCAGAAAGATGATCACCCGGAAGAGATACCCTTGCAAAACTCTCTGTTGAAAAATCAAAACCAAGTACAAAATGCCCACTTGTGAAGTCGTTAGTAGAAGCAAGCCAGTAAGTGTTTCCATTAACAGACATGCCGTGGTCCGTACACCGCGGTATGAACCATTCCCTAATTATCTTACCAATAACTCTCCAAGAATTAGAGTTAAAGTCATAGATTTCGTAGTCAAGTAATACTGGGCTAGTATAATCAAATTGATCCATCCTCAAGATTTTGTACTTGTTGCATGAGGATTTACCGAAAGCATAGATATCAAATTTCTTGTAGGAATTTCTTGGTTGGATCCACTTAATTTCACATGAACACGGATTCGAAACAACCAGTCTATTGTCTACGGTGGTGCATAGCAATAAGCCGTCGCAATGAAAGACTTTGCAAATATCAACTTCTTCTAAAGAATCAGAAAGAGGATCTTTTAGGCTAAATTGACTTATTACCTTTACCTTGTTGTTGTTAATCTCATGGAGATCGACGCTCACCAGATAAACCCTAAAAGCAATCAACATGATAATCAGAGATTGCCTTGGTGCATTAGCATAGTGTTTCTTAGCAAATCTCCACTCTTTGATCAGAACGTTCCATCTTTTGGATGTAGTTCGTAATCGTACCAAAGATTCCGCCGGAACCCTAGAGAGTATCTCCACTACCAAATCCTCGGGAAGATCTACTATGTTTCTCTTCTTCATCACCTTTAAATCAGACTGTTTTTATGATAACTTGCTTCCAAAGAAACTAGGGTTGCATGAGGAGATGAGAGACTTATGAGATAAACCTAATGCAGAATTTTTGAGTAAGTTACAATTGTCGGTCAAAATTACAATTATTTCTTCGTAGTGAACATATATAATTGTTTCTTCCTTTTTAAGATAGAACCCTTTACGCATGTATTGTGTTTTGAGATATTTTCTATTACAAACAATAGATTACAACATGTTGTCGACTACTAGACTGATGGAAACCACAAAGAGTCATCGCCGAAAATGGATATTGACGACTGAAGGTGGCATGAAAAGTGTTTGTTGAATAGAGATGGCAAGTGGTAAATGAGGATGGAACAAGAATGAACATATCTTCTTGCTTCTACCATCTGCAGTTCCACACTCTGGTCCTGTTCACCAATGAATAGACGATCCTAATGTTAAATCGTGTTCCGTGCGGTTTCGGTTTTCGTCATCTTAATATCGAAACAACTAAAACAACCAACCTGGTTTTATCTTGAATTTCAGCGTTTGCGGTTGCCTTCGAGATATGAACTTGATTGGATTGTCTGAGGATTGCCTATGCCTATCTGCTGCGGAAATTAACTGTAACCATATCCGAAATTGAGTTAACTCAATCCTGAAGTAGAAGAGAATAAGGGTTTATAATGGTTACCTTTTCATCGAACCGGAAGAGAGATTGGTCGAAATATGGGGAGGGACTTTGTGACTGACAACTAAAAGGCAAAGAGAGCAACATCTTCTTCACAAACTGTTTAGAAAAATTGATTAGATTCAACTCTCTATCTCTCTCTCATAAAAACCAACATATCGAAATACAGAGATGTGCCAACCTGAGAAAAACTGTTTGATTTGTTTTTCATGTACTTTAGTTGTTCAAGAGCATGGACGCTGTTAGAATGCGATGTTACAAAGTTCATGAATGGTGTACTACTTGATACTGTAAAGTGATCACTGAACTGCTCAAATAATTGGTAAAGATCTTCTGCTGAGTTCTGCATAAATCAATATACTAAGTCAAGTTATAAGTAAATGCAATTTTCCACAAATTAACTGGCCAAAATCATTTTACCTGATAGAATGCTACAATGTCAGTTGTCTCCATATTATACACGGCGAAGAAAGCTGGATGATGATCAGCACTTCTTGTTACCTGATTAACCCATCAACATCATAAATCTAATCAATCAAATTGTAATTTCTGAACATGTCAAAGAATTTCTATTACAGAGAGCTTACCCCACCATCTACACTGCCAAATTTGATTAGCAGGTGTTGTCGATCCAAAAACTGAACCTGGACATCAAGAATATGCGAAAGGTTAAGTTTTTTCTTCATAAAATGCAAACAATTAGACACAGACTCCCGTTGCAGGAACATATGATTGATTACCTTCCATATAATCAAGTCAACATAATCCTGGAAATGGAAATAGAACTTCTTCTTAAGACTTTGAACCCTCTGGCAAATCAAAAAGAGTCTATCGATTAGATTAATCCATTCACCGATAGTACTTAATATACAACATACATTGTAAACTACGGAGAAAATGCAGAGAGCTTGTAAGATTAACTGCATCAATCCTAAACGTTTAACTTCCGTTTTATCCGCTTATATAATCTAACAACTTTAGTAATTTCCTACTCAACATCTAAGAGAGGAAGCAGTAACAGATCATCAGACACACAAACATAATGCATTTAATGTATAATATTATGAAACTCAGAGCAATTTCATAAAGTGATAAGAGAAGTTCAAGAACAACGAACCAGTACATTATCCGATTCTTCATTCCAAATCTCCCTGAAGATAAAAGAAAGTAATCGTTGCTTAATACCACTAAGAAACGAATTCGTAGCATTTAGCTGAGGCTGAGTATGATGCAACCCATTCTCCGCAACATCATCGTCATCCTTATTCCCCGATAAACTTTGCTGTTTGCTCTTATCATGACTCATCATTGCCTAACAATAAAAAACCTCACAAAGCTCAAAACTTTATCTACTCCTCAAGACTACAGAGAACTAACTCGCTTACCTGAGAACTAGAATTAAGGAAAAGCTCATCATCTTCACGACAAAAGTAACCAATAGCACGAGCATCAACAAGATGACCAGAATCTCTAATCTGAAGAAGATGAATCCTCTGATAACGCAACGATAATATCGCTAAAAGATCATCATAAAGAAACACACCCATATTATGAGCCAAATTGACGAAATCATGAAGAAAAACCCTCTCATCTAAAACCACACCATCATCTAATCGAAGAAGTATGAAAGTGATCTTATCAATCGATGGAACACCAGGAACCGCGTCATTAGTAGGAGATGAATCATGGATCTGAGCTGTTGAAGTAGCGAAAAGACCGAAACGACGAGTTTTGTGGTAGAGGAAGAAGTCTTTGCATATAAGTTCGTTCGATGAAGCAAGATTGACTGAGTAGAGTTGAGTGAAGAAGCTATCGAATTTCGAAGCACGGCGAGGTAGAGGAGTGGAATCATCATCATCGGAGGAGGTTGTTGAATATGTGAGCCAAGAAGGACGATAAACTATGAGTTCTTGGTGGTTACGGCTGAAACTAATGAGGAAGAGTCCGTCTTCTGTGAATTTGCGGAAACAGTGATCGGGAGATTCGACATCGTAGAGTGTGTAGCTTGGGACTAGGTTTTCGTAGAAGTGTCTTGCGCGATTTACCTGCCATTGAAGAAGAAGTGATAAGTAAAAGAGAGATTGAGATTGAGAGATTGAGAGATTGAGAGAGAGATTTGGGACTGACGGAAGCGCCGGGAGGAGGAGTTCGAATCTGACGTTCGAAAACCCTAGCGGTGACGTTGCCGCTTGTGAACATTTGTTGGCCCAAAAGGGCACAATAAAGGAAGGTTTTTTCTTGAGGTTTGTGTTCTTGTTTCAGTGGTGAAAATGGAGGAGACGATGGGAGATGGGAGAGAAGAAACTGTGGCTTGTTTTGGTTCTGTTGATTTTTTTCTTTGGGAGATTAGTAATGGGCCTGAGATTGCTGTTTGGATATGGGCCGAGGCTGCAAAATTGGGTTATTGGGACTTATTGGGTATGATTGATGATAACGGAATAGTTAAAAAGGAGCGGTAAGAATTGGTGGAATATAGATGTTGGTAGCTTGATACTACTTTCGTTTTGTACAATTTCTCTGGTTTGCTTTGTCTAGCTACCGATTTTGTTGATCGGTGACAACAAGAACATTATATCCCTTACTGTAGTGGTCAGGGGTTACCGATTGGAACCCCTAATCCGTTGAAAAGCCGGGTTTTATAGATTGCATGAGAAAGAAAAATATTACAAGCTAATCGCATGTAATCTAAATAATAATAACAATTTGCAGTTACGTACACGGTACAATTATGTCTTTTTATCGCAACTTTTCGTTAACTGTTTTTTTTTTTTTTAAATCAAAATATATATTTAACAGTTGTGTTTTTCGAAAGTTGTAATACGAATAAATGATCTCTACGGTTGCGTCTTTTATCGTAACTTTTGAAAAACGATTGCAACCGTTTAGTTGAACTATTGCAACATTTATTTTATTTGACAAACTATTGTAATTTTTGGTTCATTTTATGAATTGTTATATTTAATTATATACAGTCGCGTCTGTAACAACCCTGAATCGTTCTAGAAATCTAGACAATCAGGTGCGCCACAGTTTGATACTTGTTGAGGCTCCAACAGAGGTTGCTAGAACAAATCCAGCTACTCTAGTTGGTCCATCTGTGAGTATTATCCTCTCGACCATGGCCTAAGGCTTTACAATCCGTACCGCGATCGTGAGTTGTGTCGGTTTGGACAAAACCTAATATCAAGCAATTCACAAAGTTTTATAAGAAAATAACATTTTATTAACTTATAACATCTCAAATACAAACAAATTTTTTTGGTACCAATAGCCTAAGGCTTAAAACGAAATAACTATCACTACAAATCCATCTTTACAAAAGCAATAAAATCTACACCGACTTCTTAGCGTCTATGCTCCCTCTAAGACTTTCCCCACTGAGGTTACCTGCAACAAAAAGTAGCATCATAAGTGCTAGTCACTTAGTTAATTCGGTTCCCCTATTCGGAAATTAAACACCCCAAAAACTTCAAAATAAAATAAACAAGCAAACATCATGCAAATAAGCAATCAAACAATACATGCAAAGAGTCAACCTAACATGCATCTAACAAAACGAAACAATAAATAATAATACTAGCAATTCCTATGGGCCATGTGATCGATCCTTCCCATAAAACAAGTGAACAATTCATTTATAACCACAAAGTCTATAAACAATGTACCACATCGCTCTATCGTGCAAGTTATCTGATCGTTGTATCGTCATATAACACTCGACCCTTAGGTGAGATCAAGTCTATCCGAGTCGGTGAAACAAGGTAAGCGCACTCGAATCACCACAAAACTACTATAACAACAAATACAAGAAACGACAACAACGATAACAACAAGGATTTAAATACATAAAACATGTGCTACTTCACATGTTTCGAACTCACAGAACACATATCACGGCTAACGGCTAGATCTCTCGGCTATCTTCTCTTCTATCGGTAACTGAATGATTTGTTCGATCCAAAACTCGATTCTTTGACCGTAAATAATTTTTACTTCGACAAAAAATCCTTAAATAACCTCTAAGTCATTTCCGACAAAATCGTCACCAAAATTAATCCGACTTAAATTACGTACCGCGGTCATAACGATAATCAATGACCAGGTTATTATATTCTCCCCGAATTCTCAAAAACATAAAGGAGTCCTTCGGTCTATTTCTTCTCACTCCACGAAATCTCTACTTACTTACGTAAAAGCTTTTCCACAAACATCGAACGAACGGTTACATCTAACACAAAATGTTAACCGATCGCCTCTTGATAATATTAGCCTTTACCTTTTTCTCCTATGATAGAGCTAAACTATTCCCACTATGCTTCCACTGCGCCACTCTTATACTCAACTTCTATTTTTCTTTTGCAACACATCGGTTTCAGATTTCTACTTAATCCCTCGCCGATAAATTCACACTTTTTTCTCTTTTCTTAAATCTTTTATTTTCTCTATTGAACCTAGGAGTGCCTCCGCCCAACCTCTATTTACTCTTCCCAGCGGATTCTTTCAAATTTTAATGTTTGCTTATTGGTTGTGAAGCTGAGTTTTATTCCGTGTCTTTTGCATAATTTCTTGTTCAATTAGCCACCAAAAAAATATGTACTATTATTGTCATTGTGATCATTACCTAAGAGCTTTAAATAGATCAATTAATAGTAATTATTAGAAAGATAAACCGTAATTATCATATCTACAATATCATTTGTTTTCTATAGCCCAAAAATCATATATATGAAATAAGGTTATCTCTCTCTATCTACTCGCCATATCAATACTCCAAAAATTGACATGTGTCAAACAAATAGATTTAAGTTTTTGACTCACTTTCTTCACTTCATCTTCCTCTTCCGTTTAATAATCATATCTTAGTTCTAACTTCTAAACCTATTAAGCCGTAAATCCAAACCCAATCAACAAATTCTTTTTATGATCTTCATCTCACTTATACAAACCAATATGGAGAGTAGATTTGCAACTCTCTTTGGCATCGATTGTGGAGGATTTTCTTAAGCAAAGGAAACATTCAAACTGGTTTTGGTGTAGATTCGAGTTCTAAAAAGCCATGAAACATTTGTGTTTGTTAATTCGTCTGTTCTTTTAATTTCTCTTTCTGTTAAGAGTTTGAGCCCAACACTTGAAGATGCAGATTCTAGGAACATCGACTTGATGGACATCAGGGAGCTGTTTGGACATCAGGAAGCTGCATCGGATTACATCAGACGTCTAAGTTGCTGACATGGACGCGTTAACTGACATGGTGGAGCTGGAGTGGTTGATGTGACGTGACAAGGAGCTTTGGTGACTTGTTGTGAAGATAAGAAGTAATATAAGTTGTGGAGATTTGGTGAATATTCGCCACAACAAATAAGTAAAGGGATAAGCTTGAAGATCAAGAAAGATCTCGTCGTTGATTCTCGGAGATCCTAAGGTTTAAGGTTCTGGAGAATAGTATAAATATTTTAGAGGCTGGTCATGAGCCGCTTAAGCACTCTAGAATATTGTCATACGTTTGTAATCTTCGAAGCCTAGCAAAAGCTTAGAAAGTGAGTGTTTGTAATTCTATTTGTCTTCATGGTTGAGTACTGATAAGAAAAAAGAAGAAAGAATTAGGCTTAGATTTGTTCTTAGTCGGGGTTGACTATTTGGATAGAATAGTTCAAGTAAAACTGAGATAATTAGGATCCTTGTAAAAGATCATATTATCAATAAGAACAAGCATCAAACGTTTGATTTGGCACGTTCCAAATCAGAAATCTGTTTGTGTGCCCTCTATGCCCTAACAACACTTTTTCCCCTTCGATCATGTTTTTTTTTCTTCCTTTTTTGTGATATGCGCTCAATTCGTAAAGTGAATGATTCTCTGTTTAAAAATTATTCTATTGAATATTAATTGATTCAAGTGACTATTAAACTTTTTTCTTTTGTTGATTCCAAGTTATTCAGCTTTTGATGGAATCTTAAGCTACTTTTTTGGAGTTTGTATATGCCCATATTCTTTGTTTTAAAGTTGTGTGAATGCTGAATCAGATTCTCTCTATCTACAGAGATTTTAAGGCGTTTTTGAGTGATTGAGAAACTGTTAAACCCATCAAGGTCGACTAATACATTGTTAAATCTTGATAAAAGGTTTTAACACTCATCTTTGTTGTCTTATTGCAGGAAAGGAATATACGCCGTGTTCCTTTACTCATCGCAGCGATAGCCACAACGCCGGAGCAAAACGGTGGTATCTATGATAAATACTAAAGCAAAACGACTGATGGAGCTGTGAAGGTGTCGTTGAGTAGACGACGTTTCACATAAGAGGTGTTGCTAAACGAAAAAGGTTGCCGCTGAAATTTCTAGCGATAGCTACATGATACGAGATATTACATCATGTATCATCGTAGGAACTATCATGGTTAAGAAGCTTCTTAATCGTTCTTTTAAGTGTTTCCTTTCTATGGTAGATTATGGTTTTTAGTATCTTTCTTTATTTCAATTAGGCTTGAGTCGGTTGAAGGAGTCTATATAAGACCCTCTAAATCATTAATAAGAACTTAACTTTCAAGAATTAACCTTAATCTCCAAAGAGAGACTAGTGTTAAGAGGAAGAAAGCTGTAATCTCTTTCTTTATTCTCAAGTTAACCAAGGTTCATATAATTTCAACTTGGTATCAGAGCCGAACGATTCGATGGGAGATTTGGGATGTCGACATCACAATTCGAGCAACTTATGAAGATGTTCGAAGATTGGAAGACAGAGAATAGGTTGGGTTCAAAACCATCAGATGTGGTGGTGTTACCTGCATCGTCGAAGCTTGAACCAAAGCCTCAAAACCTTGAAGTAGTTGAGGCGCCATCAACTAGGTCTAGGTTTTCGAAGCCAGATCCGTTGTTGGTTGTGGTTTTGAATTCGAAGCCAGAAAAATCTAACTAGATGGCGGAGGGAGAGAGTGATTGTGCAACTCGCAAAAATCATGAAGATATTGGAGAAGATGAGTAAGAAGATGGATCTGTTGCCATCAACCACTACAAGAAAAAGGATTTTTCCGACTGCACAAGGAGTCGCTAGGTTGTCGTTAAATGTTGGTATACGACTACACTACGATTAAAAAATTTAGTCATAAATGGAGAGTCGCTAAAGTTTGTAGTTGATTAACGACTACGTTACGACTAATACGCATAGTCGTAAATGTAATCGTAACATTGTCGTTAAATATTACGACTACGCGACAACTAGTTTACGATTAAAACTGGTGTACAGAAATGTGTTTGTTGTGTTTGTGACGACTATTTTGAGACTATGTTATGACTAATTTAACGACCATTAAACGACTACATTTGTTTGCAAAATAACTATTTGGTATTTCTTTTTTTCCAGATTTGTTTGTTTTGTAATTTGTTTTGTATCTCAATTTGAAACCAAGATTCTCTAATGCAAAAAAACAATTATTTTTTTCTCTTTTTTTTTTGTATATTATATTTGAAATTTCTTTGATACTTTGATTTTGTAAAGGGGTTATATCAAAAAGAGTGTACAAAGTTGAAGAGTAAGATCTGAGATGATAGATCTATTTATTAACCTTTTAATTTACTATAAATTTAATATAAAAATTTTGTCAATCTACTTTATACTTTATAGTTAGTTATAAAGTTATTTATCTTACAATTATTTTGTTTAAATCAATAAAATTACTTCGTATTAGTCCAAATATTATGAATATTGTTAATATAATAAATTTACAAGACTTTTATTAAATTTTAAACTTTTTATATGGTTTAGTTTGGGTTTCAATTAAGGTCAATTGTAATAACTAAGATTCTTTCTTTTGGGTGTTTTTTTTTTGGCCAACCATACATAAAGGCACTGAAATCTCCTTTGACCAAAGTTCTAATTTGTTCATGCATCTTTGCATCTAAATTTAGTTAATACTTTTAAAATATTTTTGGCTGAAGAAAAAAAAGCAACTTCCCAAAAAAAACTATAAATACAACATGTTAGTGTTCTTATTACTCCAATAATTATTTTGGATCCGAAAAATGAGCCGTCTAATATTCTTCATGTTAGTTAGTGTCATTTATTCTGGAGTAACTGAAGCTTGCAAGGATAATGAGATAGTAATTAAGAACTGGCTCGGTTCAAGTAGAATTCTCCAATATCATTGCCGCTCTGGGAACAAAGATTTAGGAGTCCAACAATTAAACTTCAAAGCTGTGAGAATCATTAAGTTCAAGGATGAAGGAGTCAATATATCACGTTGGAAATGTATTTTTAAGCATGGGCTTCGCATGAGGTTTCATAGTGAGGTTGAAGCATACCGTTCAGATTTAGGTTTTCCTCGATGTGGTCAACTACGTGAATTTATTGCCGGAATAGGTGCAGTATATTATAGAACGGATTATAATTCTTCTCCAAAACGCGCAAACGAATGGTATACCTCATAATGTGCTTTATTTTGCCTACAACTATTTAGTTTTTATGCAGCTCTTTTGCAGCTTATGACCATAAGAACTAAATCATTAGTCAAATTGTTTTTTCTAATATATAGCTCTTTTGATATCCAGGTGTATTGTATCAATGTTTTAAGGGTAATATTACAAACTAACCATAGAATATAAAAGAATTAAGAGAATAGCCTTGTGTCAGAAAACATAAGTAAATAACCTTTTCTGGAGTGATGTAAATACTAAAATATCCCTCTATTTTCTTGTTTTTACAACAATGCCGGTGGTAGTAGTTATAAAGTTTTTAATAATTGTGTACAACTCCTTATAAAAAATCATGTGTTTCTCTGAAATAGCACGATCTATTTACTAAAAGCAAGCGATTCTCTTATATAATACCAAGTATTATATAACATATGTAATTGTTACAAAATTTCATGGGTTTTTGTTGGATAGCTTGCCAAATATTTATATATCAGTGTTAATAGCATGTTTTGTCCTTAAAATACATGTATTTTAAAAATCAGACATGTGTTTTAAAATCAGATCTAATCTCTTATATCACATTGGCGAGTGGTGGAAAAATCCAGCAAGGACGATAAACAGTGAAAAATCATGTGTTTCTTTGAAATAACACGATCCAGTTACAAAAAGCATGTAATTCTCTTATATAACAAGAAGTATTATATAACATATATAATTGTTACAAAATTTCATGGGTTTTTATTAGATAGCTTGACAAATATTTATATATCAGTGTTAAAAGTATGTTTTATCCTTAGAATACATGTATTTTAAAAATCAGACATGTGTTTTAAAATCAGATCTAATCTCTTATATCACACTGGCGAACGGTGGAGAAATCCAGCGAGGAGGAAAAACAGAGAACGACCAAGGGATGAGAGAGGAAGAGATTTCTAGGAAAAAGAAAGTGAGAATATGTGGTGAAGAGATCTGATACTAGGAAGATATAGGTAAAGAAAAAGAGATCTGGTGGTGAAAGAGATTTGACGCGAAAGAGAGAAGGAGAAAAAAAAAGAGATTGCTTGGTGAATCTGGTGATGAGTTCTTGAAAAAAAAAAAAGAGAGAAAGAGAGCTTCATGGCTGAAGTATCGTCAGAAGGAAGAAAAAATAAACAGAGAAAGAAGAAGAAAGCAAAAGGATAAGATAGACCAAAAGTTGCCAAAAATTCTGTAGCAAATGGGTACTATTTGGTCAAAGGTTATTTTGTTAATTCTTTTCAAGTCAAAGGTTAGTTCTTACATATTCTCATGTTTTAAATAATAACAAAGCATCATTTTCATATATTAATGTTTTTGTTTTTAAGAGATGATTCGATATCTATTTGTTTGCTTTACTTGTTATCTTCTAGATAACATTGAAGTTGCCAACTACCTTGCTAGGACTAATCAAGTATGCATATTTATATATATATATATATATATATATATATATATTTATATATAATACTGCTTAAGTTCGGATATGCCCTTACTATATCGGTACCGTAGGCTGGCGTATATTTCCTTGTAGACAATATCCTTGGTTATCTCGTTTGCTTCATTATCCGGTTGAAGAATGCTTACACTTGTAGGAGATTAAGAATGAAAGCGCCACATACAACTTTTGTTAATAATCAAGAACTCGTTGAGGAACAATGATTTGAAGTTTTGTCATTGGCTTTTGTTAATATTTTTAATGAAAATTGTTGTGAAGTGATGGTTGAATCTGGTGGTGATAAAACTAATCCGTAGTAGAATGACATTTTTACCAATATATGTGCCACAGGTGACTATTTCGCTTCCAACCAATCTATTTCCAAACATGATACAAAAAGTCTTGTACCATTGTAGAGACCTTCTTTTTGATTAATGTTGTGAAGCAGGATTATTGAAGCCCCTTCTTTCAAAGCACCATGCATCTCATCCCGTAAGATAAGACCAGTTTTGTGGATTAATTCAGCAAGCATAGAAGATGTATGTGTCATAGTAACTTAATAAGCTCTTTATTTGAACTTTCAAAAATAAAATATTTGATCTCTCAAGTATCAATGATTCATAGATGGTTAATTATACATAAACCACGACTTTAGAATTTAGAAACTTTTTTATTTTTCTTGGTTGTTAAGAAGAAGTTTTCATTTACGTTATTAATCTTTTCTTATTCGTTTAAACTTTAGCGTTCTCAGACTTTTGAGAATTTCTTTTATGTTGTTTAATAGACGTATATTTTACAAACTAAAACATAAACTATTAATGCTAACAATAACTTATATGCTTTTTTGTTGGTTTTTGAAAATTTTCCTTTATTAAAGAGAGGTAAACCAGTCTACGTGAGTTTAATTTTCATGTTGACATGTACTCTTTCCTAATTCAATTAACTACATTGTTTTACTATTAGAATTTTTTTACTAAACTAATTGGAAGCTAACGTAGTGAACCTATTATCTATATTTTTTTTTTATATATTTTAATAACTAAATTTTATAATTTTCTTATTTTCATATGATTTTTTTTCAAAAATTTACATTTATATTCTTTACATATATATATAGTTTTTTTTCTGTTTCATAAATTTATGGGTTATATTACTAACTAGCCAAATTTGACACATGAATTAGGTAAATAGCCATGCGTCAGAAAACATTAGTAACTAGCCTTTTCTTCGGATGCGAAATAACCAAAATAACCTGGAAAGAGAGGCGGGAACTCTTGTTCCGACAATAGGTGTCTAGAGGTAGGGAACAAAAACATGAGTAGGTAATGATTAAACCGTTTTCTTTATAAATTACACGCTATTTACAGATTCCTTTGATATTTAAAACATAACTTATATCTCTACACATAATATAACACATCCCATTAAGAGATGCCTTTGAGATTTAAACCATAACTTATATCAGTACATCATTGTGATTCAAACCACTTACAACTTCTATTAGTACATTTCAAAACTATTGATAAAAGACGTCAAAAAATTTGATGAGGACTTACGAGCTTTAGAGAGGAAATTGTAAGGATACAGATTTTTAACACAAACAGACCACCACCAAACATGAGCTTCAGTGAAAAAATTGTAAGGATACAGATTTTTGCTGTATAGGCGACTCCTTATTGAGGGGAGACTCAAGGGAAAAAAATTCATTTGTAACGTTAAAACCGAACGTTATGTAAGAACAACACATGAAATGTTTGGTTATAACAGTAATCATTATTCTTCAAGTTGCTACATAAATGGGGATTTTTTCTTGTTTTTTTTGCCGATATGATATTAGATACGTATCTACTGCATTAAATGCGGCGACAGTGTTATATACGGGTTCCAATGTTGCATTGGGGGAGGGGTGGAAGAAAGTCTACAAACAACATGTTTCTTGTAAGTATAACAGAGGATAACCACTTACCCAACACCGGATTGACGACACGTCGCATATGACGTCTTTGCCACTACAGCTAAATCTAGCCCAGTCTTGTATAAGATCTGCGGAATATACGTCTTGACAAGTGCGTACATGGTCTGGAATGAATTTATCTGTGCTAATGTTAAGAAACATGATTTGCTGTTGTTATGCATGCAGTTTTAATACAATTCAGTTATAAGCTTGATGCGACATTTACAGAAGCAACTTCTTTCCTCAATTCGAAGGCCTCGAGAGTTTGGGGGGGAACTCATTATTTTTCAAAAGTATGTGGCTTAAAACGTTGTTAGCACTGTTGCCCAAAAATATCTTAATTCGCTGTAGCCCTACTTCAATGTGAGAGCTTCCCTATATAACAGGAGATATGAGTAGCATTTAAAGATCACACCACTTCCTCTTTCAAAAAAACACAAGGAACAAATTCTAAAACAAAGGAGAAGGAAAAGTTACTGCAGTACTAGGTATGCCATAAATGATAGATTTGTTTCCCAGAGTCCCTTGTTTTCTTTATTAATCAGTGTTGAATTGAAGCATCTTTTCATTTTCCAATTTAATGCAACCCCTTTTCGCTTTTTGCTGTTGTAGGTAGCAATGGTTGTTATTACCGAAATAACAGACCGAGATATACGGACCGTGAGCGGATCATGGGGAATCGGGGCTGATGGTAGCTGGGTTTTCATCCCGAACCCACATAACGCCGTTAGACGGATGAGCATTCGTGAGGGGGAGAAAGTAGCTGTTGTTCGACAGTTAGTTCGGGAAGCCTATGGATTAGAGTACGTGGGATGTGAACTTCATATGTCATACCAGTGGCCTGATTGGATGGATATGGAAGGTGATTTTGGGGGCAGGACGCGGCCTGTCCCGATAACGACGGATGAGACGATGTCCATGTACCTGACTATGCGTTTTGAGTTGGAAGATTTAAGCTTGTTTGTATCCAAAGTTAACGTAGAGGGAGGTTTTAGTGGAGAAGGAAGTAGTAACACGACGAGTTATGGTCTACCAGACAAAGGCAAAACGCCTTTACACTGTGATGAGCCTCCCTCTCCTCATCACGATCCCATGCTCTTGCGAAGGCTAATGAATGATGATGCGGTGCTTCGCTGGATAAGCTCTACTCAGCCTGCCGGGGGAACCGTGGGAGAATCTTCGTCAAACATTCAATCAGTACCACCAAGGACAAACAATGAGCGAGTTTTTACTATCTCATCCAGCGATGATAGTGACACTGAAGATGGAAATGAGGTATAAATGTATTTAATTTCATTCTATGCAATATGAATATTAACTACATGAATGGAAAGTATATATTACCTAAAACTAGTTTCTTGACATCACGCAGGCTGAAGACTCACAATTTGTTGAGGCAGATTTACTTGCAAATCTTGGTATGCCATCAATAAATCTGGCTGACGATATAGACGGTTCAGAAAGTCAAAGTGGAGGAGGTGCTGACGAAAATAGCATAAGAGAGACGATTACAGAGTGTAATTTCTTTGGCCCTTGTGCAACCGAGATGGATGGACCATTACGTGGACACTTGGATCTCCATGTCCCGCTGCAGGAGGCTCTAGAGGACATGTGTCTGAACTTTGCATTTTTCAACCGGGATGCTGCACCGACCTTAGATGACCAAGGCGAGGAAGGTAAATGTCGCTTATACAAAATAACAAGCATCAAATTTTTTTTATAACCAGATATTGTACTAGTTTCCATGTTATATATACTAAAAACAAAGCAAGCATGTAAGTTCACATATTATTAAGATACATATTGTATTTTAAGTTTACTAAATCTGACTTCCGTTTGACATGTCAACTGTGTTATATGCCATTTTATAGAACACCCTGTTATTTATCAAGTATACATGTTATATTTTAAAACCCCTCACCTATTTTCCAATGTATAGGCCGTGTAGGGATGGAATTAGCTATCCGCGATGTCCAGTATGAAGGCGACGAACTTTTCGTGGGCCGTGTATTCAAAAACAAGCAAGACTGTAATGTGAAAATAGCTGTGCACGCACTGAATCGCCGTTTCCATTTCCGTCGTGATCGCTCTACCAAGAAAATACTAACTCTCACTTGCGTTTCCGACTCCTGCTCGTGGCGTGTCTACATAGTGAGATTGGAAGATTCTGAAAATTATCAAATTCGAAGTGCTACACTTGAACACACTTGCACCGTCGAGGAAAGAAGCAATTACCACAAGCAAGCCACTACCCGCGTGATTGGTAGCATAATGAAATCAAAGTATGAGGGGAACACTAGAGGTCCACGGGCAATTGACCTACAGCGTCTTCTGCTGGCTGATCATTCGGTGAGGATTTCTTATTGGAAGGCATGGAAATCACGAGAACTTGCTTTGGAGGGAGCAAAAGGATCATCAGCAAATAGCTTTTCTCTACTACCTGCATACTTACATGTACTACGAGAGGCTAACCCTGGATCCCTTGTTGAACTTAAAACAGAAGTTGAGCCAGAGGGTGTCTATAGGTTTAAGTACCTATTCATAGCATTTGCAGCATCCCTGGAAGGATTTGCGAACATGAAACGAGTAATTGTCATCGACGGGGCCCATCTGAAAGGGAAATATGGAGGCTGCCTACTAACCGCAAGCTGTCAAGACGCAAATTTCCAAGTTTTCCCGCTAGCCTTTGGTGTAGTTGATAGCGAAAACGATAATGCTTGGGAATGGTTTTTTCGGGTGTTGAGCACAGCCATACCCGACGCATCCAATCTTTCGTTTGTCTCAGACCGACATTCCTCAATATACACAGGACTGCGAAGGGTAAGCCTCAAACTCTTTTTGTGAGAGAAAACATTCATGGGTTTGTACACAATGTTATTTTCTAGTAGACATGCATTTTTTTAACGTAACATGAAGTAATTACACACATAATGATATTTTGTAATAAAGTGTGATATACTTAACGTATCCTTTCCCAGGTGTATCCGAAGTCAAGGCATGGAGCTTGCGTGGTTCATCTCCAGCGAAACATTGCTTCTGCCTACAAGAAAAAAAACCTGCTGTTCCACGTTTCCAGAGCTGCTAGAGCATATAGGATTTGTGATTTCCATACCTACTTCAATGAGATTATAAGGATGGATCCGGCTTGTGCAGCCTACCTAGAGTCAGTTGGCTTTAGTCACTGGACAAGGGCATACTTTTTAGGTGAACGTTACAACGTTATGACCAGCAATGTTGCGGAGTCGTTGAACGCAGTGTTGAAGGAAGCGCGTGAACTCCCAATCATTTCCCTTATAGAGTTCATTCGCACAACCCTAATGACCTGGTTTGCGATGAGGCGCGACGCGGCCAAATCTGAAACTTCATCAATGCCACCAAAGATGAGAGAAGTGGTGCATCGGAACTTTGAGAAGTCGGTGCGATATTCTGTTAGGCGCATTGACCGGTATGACTATGAGATTCGAGGAGATAGTTCGAGTGTTTTTCATGTTAGGCTTTTGGAACGCACGTGCTCTTGTAGAGAATTTGATTTGCTACATCACCCTTGCCCGCACGCAATAGCTGCAGCAGTTGCAGAGAGTGTCCCCATCCAAGGGTTAATGGCGCCAGAGTACTCTGTTGAGAGTTGGAGGATGTCGTACCAAGGCACAATAAAACCTGTGCCTGATGTAGGAGATGTGTTTCCTTTGCCTGAACAAATAGCTTCTCTACAACTATTCCCACCGTCAACGCGCAGGCCACCGGGTAGACCAAAAAAGAAGAGGATAACATCAAGAGGAGAGTTTAAGGTAAAGTATTTGAAATTGTATATTTATAAATAATGTTTCAAATGTAAAGATTCTAACAATGTAAGGTTTCAGGGAACAAAACGTCAGGCCACACGATGTTCCCGTTGCACAGGCGTAGGACATAATCGCGCCACGTGCAAAATGCCCATATAAAGGTAGGGGACTTTGTAGAAATAATATATAAAATCCGATGGAAGTTTTTGGATTTAATATTCTTTTGTTGGTTTTACAGGGCTGCTGGGTGTCTCGCGTTCAAAAAATGGGTTATAGGTTGTGCGCAGTTAATCAAGGGGAAGTAGTACATCAAGGATGAAGTTAAATCTTAAAGGAAAGCTACTTGATTTTATGTATATAGTAGCATAGAGACCTATCTTTAAGGGTGGCGCCTAAAGATATGGACTGAATGCACTCAAGTAGATCATGTTCCAGGTTGTTGTGGTTTTTTGTTGTTTTTTGGTGAGTCTGTGTAAACAAAGTTTGAAAACCCCCTTTGTATCCTTAACCCATGCTAGTAAATAAAAACGCGAGTGTTTAATTAAAAACTCATGTCTTGAACAAACAATACAAGTTTACTAGCCAGTAAGACAATAGGAGTTTATTCCCAAAAAATAATTATTTGTTACTTCATGTAACAATTAACGGTTTCGTATACTAAAAGCATGTTATTTAATACAACCAGGCGCATTTATGTATAGACCATGCGGTTTATTGTAAACCCTTGCTTCAATGCAAAACTACTTTTAACCCATTGGATCTGTCGACCACGAAGTTTGAAAAAATGGGCTTGATGTGAACATTCGGGGAATGGACCGGTAAATATATGAAAAACAGGGTTACGGGAAAAAACAGGGCTACGGGAAGACTTTGTAGATATAATAGAATACATGTTATTTTATCTTAAATCAGTAATCATAAAACTGCAACTTATTACAACCAAAAATAAAATTGATTTGTACGATTTGACACACTGGTCATTCCGTAAGAAAAAATTAGATACGTATCCAGTGCGTTAAATGCGGCGACAGTGTTATATACGGGTTCCAATGTTGCATTGGGGGAAGGGGTGCAAGAAATTAAAAAAACAACATGTATATTATAAGTATAACAGAGGAGAGAAGCACTGACCTACCACAACACTAACGACACGTCGCATATGACGTCTTTGCCACGACAGCTATATCTGGCCCAATCTTGTCTAAGATCTGCGAAATCTTGGCCTCGATAAGTGGTACATGGTGTGAAGGGAAAATATCTGTAATATTTTCACGCAACATAAATTATTGTTTTGATGCATGCCATCTTAATACAATTCACTGATAAGGTTGATGCGACATTTGCAGCCATCCAGTGTTTGGGGGGAAATCATATTGTTTTCAAAAGCATGTGGCTTAGAAACGTTGTTACCACTGTTTACGCAAAATATCTAACTGGACTGTAGCCCTACTTCAATGTGAGAGCTACCCTATATAACAGGAGAGATGAGTTGCATTTAACCATCACACCACTTCCTCTTTAAAAAAAACATAAGGAACAAAAACTAAAAGAAAGGAGAAGGAAAAGTTACAGCAGTAGTAGAAAATTACATTGTCACCCCCTTTCGGTAATAACTGATAAATTTGTTTTACAGAGTCCCTTGTTTTCTTTATTTATCAGTCTTGTTTTTAAGGATGTTTTCCGTTTCGAATTTAATGCAACATCTTTTCCCTTTCCCCCTTTTGTAGGAAGCAATGGTTGTTATTACCGAAATAACATCCCGAGATATACGGACCGTGAGCGGATCATGGGCTATCGGACCAGATGGTAGCTGGGTTTTCATCCCCAACCCACATAACGCCGTCAGACGGGTCAGTATTCGAGATGGGGAGAAAGTAGATGTTGTTCGAGAGTTAGTGAGGGAAGCCTATGGATTGGAGTACGTCGGACGTGAACTGCACATGTCATACCAGTGGCCTGATTGGATTGGGACGCCGCCAGTCCCTATAAAGACGGATGAGGCGATGTCTGTGTACATGAATATGCGTTTTGAGTTGGCAGATTTGAGCTTGTTAGTGTCCCTCGTTAACGTGGAGGAAGGTTTTAGTGGAGATGGAAGCAGTAACGCGCCGACCCTAAATGAACAAGGGGAAGAAGGTAAATGTGGCATATTGTAAAAAAAGTCGTAAACTAATTTCGTAAAAACAAGTCGTTTTGGTAGTTTATATGTAAAAAACAAGCATGTCAGTTTACATGTCTAATAGTTTACGAACTCTGACTTTCGTTTTACATTTTTGCAAGTTGACATGTGTTATACTGTGTTGCTATATTAACACCCCCCATGTTATATATACAAGTTGGATGTTATGATTTAACATACCTAACCTATTTTTTTAATCTATAGGCCATGTTGGGATGGAGTTACCTATCATGGAACTTGCTACCGAGGGAGCTACCGGATCAACAGATAATCCCTTTTCTCTATTACCAGCATACCTACAGGGTCTAGGAGAGGCGAACCCTGGATCCCTTGTTGAACTTAAAACGGTAGTTGATGCAAAGGGTGTCTATAGGTTTAAATACCTATTCATAGCATTTGCAGCTTCCCTGGAAGGATTTGCAAGCATGAGGCGAGTCATTGTAATCGACGGGACCCATCTGAAAGATGAAATAGCTTCCATGATCAACTTGGTCAAGCGACCCTCAGACTCAGAGATTGCCTTCAGCATACGATTCTCTGATTGCTTGTCTTTCATATCAACGTATTGCTTCATCGCCTCAGAAATTTGGACATTGGCTTTACCTTTCCTTTTTCTTTTGGGACCATTTACCTCATCCAAGGAATCATGAGTGCTACAAACGTCGCTGTTGTCATTTTTATCATCCGGAAGAGAGTCAGGCAACAGTCCACCACCAAACATGGAAGCTGTGAATTTGTCTCTTCTTCCTATAAGTTGGATCATTTGGTCAACAGCAGCATCATCTCTGTCCTCAACCCATGATGCACTCCCCAGCGGGTCACCATTAACTTCTCCACTGAGAATAGAGACAACATTGGTCTACAGAAATAACAATTGAAACAACAACGTTAAGAAAATGGTATACTGGAAAAAACATGTCTCATAACAGTTATGTTAGCTTGCACTCCATTCACAAGTTCACATCTGTAGACAAAACAAGTTACTAATATAAAAAACATGCAACAGATAGAAAACACTGAAATGTAAAAGAAAAACATAAATTTCGTTGCAAACTTGATATGCCTAAACAGAAATGACAGAGTACTTAAATGACAAAGCAATAAGTGAATATAGCAAGCATAATTATTAAAATCACACCAACTACTTATAATATACATGGCATCTATATAAAACACATGCAACAACTACAAAACAAGATACAAATGGTCAAGAGTACAATTTAAGATTACAACATAGTACTCTTCTTCACTGGATATACATCTAGTGAATATGACAGAGTACTCAAATGACGCACGTAATTATATAAGAACTTACGGATTAGACATATCATGGTATCTATATAAAACACCTGAACCACCTATAAATAACATGCATACAGAGAACTGACATACTACAAACATGCTATCACAATAGGTCAATATAAGAACCATGGAGTATATATGGATAGCAGGGAATAAAAAAAAAAAGAGTATATAAGAATACCGTACCGTCAATTTCTTATCAACCTTCCAAACAATATCCAACTTCAAGCTCCAAAGACGTTCGATTTCTGTGTCAATTTCCTCCATTTCTGAATCACCATCTGCCTCTAGATCAGGGTCAGGAAATTGCAACTCCTTGATAATTGGGACAGAGTGCAACAATAGAAGTTGGAGGGCATGAGGGAATCCTTGGACAGTCACGGACTTTCGCTTTAGCTTCTCTGCTCCCCTTGCTTTGATGCTCTTCAACGTCAATTGGAAAGATGTAGTACCCCAGGGGTGATTGAGAAATTTTTCTAGATTCTCTGACATATCTGCGTGAGTAGGAGAAATTTTGGGTTTGCCAGACGTTGGACACAACACGCCATCAATGAGAGCAAGCATAGCGTAGCGGAGACGAATTTCTTTGTCTGGGACCAAACGCTTCTTCAATCGACCAACCACCCACTCAACAGAAACGTCAGCTCGATCAAATAGCGTGTACCAATACTTCCCAGGGAGGAGTTTGCGTTTGCTCTTCCTCGCTTTCGACTGTGGAGGTTTGTTGCAGTTTAATCCTGTCATTCTTTGAAACTCTGAAATAGAGAACCGTAGAGGGGAGCCAGCAAAGACCACCCAGATTTCATTTTCCTTGTTAACTACAAGCTGTCTGGACAACAAGAAATGTATTAGCTTCCCAGAATATGCCGGTCCCTCTGGAATCTCAAACAGTTTCCCAAACTGCGAATCTCGAAGAAATTGGAGGTCTTCCGCATCCAAGCTGTTAGCGATTTCGTCGATGAAGGGTAGCTCACTATAAGATTGAACTCTCTCACCGTTGGGTTCGGCACCTTCCCTAAACAGACGCATCGGTAAGAGAGGATTGGCCATCTAAACAAAACGCAATGGAAAATAGGTTAGTAATATGATAATATACAAACCGAAGAAAACAAATCAAGACGCAACATATGGACAAACCTCTTGTTTTTTTTTTAAAACCCTAGACGGACGAAGAAGAATCCACAGAGTTTGAGAAAATTCCCAGATCTCGCCTTATCTAACTTCATGTAGAGAGAAAGTGTAAAAATCAAGGGTTAGGAACCAAAACTTAGATCTGGACGCAATCGGAAAGAACCGTATTTCCGATACTTACAGAAGTATACAGGGGAAGAAATAGAAGAAGACAGAGACAGATAATCGGGAACCCAGGTCTCAACTTACCACATTCCTCGGCGAAGACTTGATTGGAGAGGAGGAGAACGAATTAAAACTTCTCTCGGAAACGGCGACGGGAAGAAAAAGAAGATTACAGAGAGAGATAATCGGAAACAAAGTCCTAAGTCCTCGGCTGGTCCTTGATTAGGGACGACGACTTTGACACCCAAAGCTGTTTCGCAAACGGCGCTAGGGTTTTGGAGAATTTAATGCATTTACTCCCAAATTTTTTTTTTTTCATTTATCACTGTTAGCGTGAGAGAGTGTCTATAATGTTCCGAAAATTTCAAATTTCAAACCCCACAATCATTACGCTCCCAAATAGTATATTGTCCCCTCTATGTCTAAGGTTATACATGTAATAACACTCTCGTTTCCGACAGAGACTATTCAGCCATGGCTATTTTGTTAATTCTTTTTGAATCCATGGCTATTTAGTATAAATTCTCTAAATTTATTAATATAAAAAATATTATAATTTAAAAATGTTAATTAATGTGATGTCTAAAATGTTAATGAGTATGATGGCTAATCAGGATTGGTCATTTAAAATCTCACGTGGACAGCCTCAAAAGCTTATAGCCTCGACTTTATAGTATATAGATTTTCCATAGATGGGTTTAAAAAAGTATTAAAGTTAAGGGAAGTTAGACGTCACTAACTTAAAGAAGGCAAATAAAATCTCCTTATTTGTTGATATACGCTAGGCTTGAATGATATAGACTTTTTTTTTTTTGACGTCTAGATTTATTATTTATTGCAAATTATGAGAACTGTTACATAGACGATTCTACAACGGACAATTCCTTCCGACCCTTATTAGATCCACGACAGACGACACTTCCTTCTCCATGCTCTTGACGTACACTTTCAATGATCCATGACCTGACGACACTTCTCTCTCGGCGTAGAATCCTGGCGAACGGCTATAATTGTACTTCACTGGAGATCTCCTGCACACTTGCCTCCTTTAATCTGCAAATTTATTAATAAATCGTAATATCTGGGACTCGAACCCCAGACCTCTTGGTGTAGAAACATTAATTAACCCTTAGTCGACCAATGGGCCAAGGGAGCTTCCACAATGATATAGACTATACAATTTTTTATTAATGATTAATAAGTTATAGGTCTAGGTCCGTACATTTTCTTAGGCCAAAAACTAAATCATTTTATATGGTCCATTCGCAAGTGCCACTCGAACTGTCGATCACTAGGCTTTGGCTGAGAATCTTTACCAGTTGAACTATTGATACTTGCTCTATACAGCTTTTTCACGTTTTGAAAACGTGATTTCGTTGAATAGATATCATTCACTAAAGCATTTTATATTGTCCATTTTCAAGTGCCACTCGAACTGTCGATCACTAGACTTTGGCTGAGAATTTTTACCAGTTGAACTATTGATACTTGGTCTATACAGCTTTTTCACGTTTTGAAAACGTGATTTCGTTGAATAGATATCATTCACAAAACCTTGTGCTGAAATATAAAACGTAAAAAATAACAAATGATTTTTTAATTTATCTCCCACGTTTTAAATTTATAACCAAATTTGATAGATTTCAGTAATCTACTAAATAGTTTTTTTATGGCATTTTAAAAAAATATCATTTATATTTAGTTTAAAATTATTATCGTCCTATTGATTTTGCTATTTCATAATTCAGATATTTTGCTATTTAATTGTTAATTTGATATACTAGTCAAGCCCTCTATATTTACCGATATATCACGGTTGTTAATTTATCTTTTTTTATCGTGTTTCCTTGGTATTTTCATTTTCCTGCATTTTAGAAATCCTATAATGTCTAGTGTGTTTTGTATGTCTTTTGAGTAATTTCAGATTAAAATAAAGATGACACACATTTGATGCAAAGAAGAGAAATTGTAATCTTGGACCAGTCCGAAGTGTCTAAAAGATTGACTCAGATGAAGGCTTTTCCTTGGGATTTTGCTTATGAGCCATCAAGAAAAGTCATAGGAATTTGAGTTAGCTTTCTAATGGCGGTTATTTCGGACCAATTCGAGATGGACTATCAATCTGATGTGTAAAAAGAAGCTCATCCAGAAACTTTCCTTAAAAACAAGAAGATGTAGTGGCCTGGTGTAGTGGGAACAACACATCGCTGGAGACATTCTCATGATCCAAAGTCTGTGATCCGACCCGGGACCGTAATGGGCCGACCTAGTCTGAAGTCTGAACCCAATTTGTATTTAAGAAATTTTAAGACAACTTCTATCCTAATTTTTTTTCTCTAACGTTGGATTTAGATCTAAGCTCTTCTTTTGATATTTCGGATTGATCTTCATCATTATATGTCACTTTCGTGAAGGATTCTTCAACTTTATCATTTATCTTTATGTTTGTACATTTAGCTAGAAGAGAACGGTCGGAGTCTTTGACGCTCGAGGAATCCTCAAATCTATGAGAGCAAGGAACGAATCATATGATCGATATGCTTGTTGGTAAAGCCTTATGCTTCTCAGGGCCAGCTTTGTTAGTACTTTAGGCATTTAACTTGGACCATCATCATACACATAACATTGGCTCAAACAGTTTAATCATATAAAGATGGATGTCACCGTATCGGGAAGTCACAAAGAACACTGAACAGAAACTAGATCCAACTGTACATATTTCAAAGCTGTGACTAAAGCAAACACATAAGCCAAATTATAACTTAAGGCTTCACATACAATCAAACAATGCTGCATAGTTTTGCCTACTGGAATTGCACAATGGAATGTAAAGAATCGATATCGTGTATATCCGAGTTTTGTTTGCATAATCAGAAACAGAATTTTTAGATCACGAACGTGTACACTCGATACCCCGACATATAGCCAACCAAATACCAAACAGTGTCAAGCAAATAGCTGCATCAATAGCAAGAACGATCTGAACTAACCGCCGCCATTTCCATTCAAAGCTTTGAGTAACAGAACGTCCTCTACTCGATACACACTCCTTCTCCAACGACGTTCCTGCTCCCACTCCCGCTCCCGCCAAAGCATCGGTTCTGTTCTCCCTATCATTAGACTTCCTGTGTTCCTCAACCTCAATGCCTCTAAGTGAAATCACATGATCTTTCCCTTTCTTCTTCTCTTGCTTACTTGACCTCCCCAACAACGGAGCTTTAGTCGAATTCGAAACTTCGCTCTGTTCACCAAGATTACTCTTCAATTCATTGTTAGTACTCTCAGCAACACGTTCAAGCGAAGCTATAAGTCTAGCAACAACAGGAACAAGCTGATCTTCAACATTAATAGAACCAATCAAAGCAGTAAAACTTCCTTTAGAATTCTTCCTCGCAGCTTTCTTGAATTCATCTCTCAAATGTTCAAGAAACTTAAGAACACTAGATCTCTTCAAAACCTCATCAACAATGGCGAAATAAACAAACCCATCTCCAAATAAAAACCCAAATCTTCTCTTCCCAATAGTTTCAAAGTACCAATTATGAAAAGGAGGAGACTTTTCTAAACACAAAGCAGCAAGACTCTCGTTGGTTTGGTCTCCACCGTTGTAAGAGTAAAGAATCTGATTGTCTCTTGAGACACAACAGTAATGAACTGTGTTCTTGATTAAACCCATTGGAGAAAAAGATTGTCTTTTTTTGTTTTAAGCAATCAAATTGAGACAGAAGAGGAAAGAAGAGAAGTTTGTGATTAGAGCAAAGAAGAAGAGAGAAATTGAGATGAAGAAGTCAAAGAGAAAATCAAAGAGAAGAAGAAAGTACCAACAAAATCCTTCGGCGATGTATTCAAAATCGAGGATGAATTCTCTCATTCCCTCTTCTCTAGGGTTCTTGGGTCATGTGTGAGCTTTTGAGATGAGTCTATCTTTGTGAAGAATAAGTCAGAACTCGACGACCAAACTAGAGGACGTGGTCCACAACACTAATTTTTTTTTATTAATTTCTACATAACACTAGCATGATTTTAGGTTAAAAAAAAAAAAGGAATTAGTAAATCAATCAAATATTCTTAAAACATAATTATACTCTCTAAATTCAATTAAAAAAAACATTGCATTCTCTCTAAGAAAAATGTTAATCCGATCTGACACCGCAAAGAGGATGACGAGTTCTCGGCGAACCTCACGAAGACGGCGACAACAAAACCTACGGTGAACATTGTGTACCAATCCAATTGTCAAGTTATTCAAGCTCAAAGGTTTTGGCTCTAAATGGTAACATATTTTTGAGGAATTACTGAGGAATTTTTGAGGAAAAAATAATGGTTACATCAGTTGAATTGTTGAGGAATTGTTGAGGAATACTATTCCAAGAGAAGAATTAGGAAAGTGGTCCCACCACAGTCAGCTTTTCATTTGGTTTGGGTTTTTGACGAGACTTTATTATCTCTTTGAGAAGGTAAGTAATCTATGCTTTTACCAAAATAAAATGCTAATAAATTATGTAACTGTTATATTTTAAATTTTCCATATATATTTAAGAATAATGTATTTTGAAGTTGTAAGATTTTTAAGCTTTTCATATTTTTATGTTGTTTAAGAAATATTTACATTCTTCGTAAGTTCTTTGTTAGTTTGTGTGGTAATTATGATTAAAAAAACTTTGATTATTTTTGTTGAAATTTTTTTTTGTAAAAATTGCAAACGTTAACAAATTTCTTCAAAAATCTATCTTTATTTTTATAAGTTGCAAACGTTATCGTTAAATTATGCTTTTATCTTATGTTTGATAAAAAATTTCAATATATCAAATTTAGGATTTAATATTTTTATTAGTTGGTTTGATTAACCCTGTTGACGAAAAAAAGAATTTAATTAGTAATTTCAAAAATATATTTAATAAGTTATTTAAAAAAAATTCAGCCAGATTCAGCCGTTACCATTTACATATTCAGTTATTCAGCCAAATTCAGCTAAAAATCACTCTAAAATTCAGCCAGATTCAGCAATTCAGCCAAATTCAGCCGAATTCAGCGGTTACCATTTACACCCTTTGTTATGTTTCAAACATGTTTGCAGAATTTTTGTATTCAATTTGGTTTTGTAGACTATATCTTCCTCGCTAGCCCAGCCCAGGCCCGGAAAAATATGAGTTTTGGGGTTACATTTTTGTTGTTGGCTTCTTGTTAAATTTACACTAGAAAAATTAAAAAAAACCTATAATAAATTTACACTAGAAAAATTAAAAAAACCTATAATAAATTTACTTTCAGTCTAAATTTTGGGCTCGATAAATTCTCACTAATATTTTCAATATG